ACATATTTAAAATTTTCTTGAATTTAAATATTTCTTGGTATCAAATAGTCAATACCAACGATTAGAACTATTATAATAGCTTTGTTGAAACATTTTAGGAAAAAAGTTTTAGAAATAAAAGTTCTAAGGATTTAAAAAAAAATAAAGTTAAACAAAATAGATGTAAAATGTAGTCAATTTCAAAACATAAATTAAATGATTGTGGATTGATGGTTGACTGCAGTGAATAATTGAAGAGAAGGATGGTTGGGGTGATCAGTCAAATAAAAAATAGTAAAAATAAATAATAATATTTATTTTTACATTTGCCGACGTTTTGACCAGAAGTTCAGGCCTTCATAAGGGCTGAGAACAGAAAAACGTATTGTTATCTAGATCTTTTCTCAGCCTTGATAAAGGCCTGAACTTCGGGTCGAAGCATAGGCAAATGTAAAAATAAATATTTATTTTGGCCATTTTTTATTTGACTTATCACCCAACCATCCTTCTCTTTAATTCATAAATTAAATGAATAGGTCCTTAGTAAAGGTATTACTTTTTTAGTAAAATCTCATCTGATTTGAATTCTTAAATTTATCTTCCTTATTAACTTTTTATACATATATATAGTATTTCTTATTGTGTCCTAAACAAACCAGGTTCTATTCCAATAAATTATTTTATTTATATTATTTTATTCAGATCAAACCATCCATCACCCGAGTTGGTCCTCCAAATTGGCCAGATAAACTTTGGCATAGTTTAATGGCTCTCTAAGATAACCTTCCATTGGTCCTAACAGATATATTAGGGAAAAGGGTGGTAGAGGTCAGCAGAACAAGCAGCAAGAGTAAAGTTTTTACCATTTTGAATGGTGGCAACTGTGTATAATAATCTGTGGGCCAGACCCCTTTACCGTGCACCCTCTCCCTCCCCCCCACATCCCTATAAATTGCATATCGTTGTGTTCCTTGTAACTATTTATTTAAAAAAAAGCCAATGTTCCCACAAAAAAAAGTGAACGCACTGCCCCAAAATGGCGTCCAAAGATATTAGACTTTGACTTTAGTTAGTTTTTTGGTCACTGAGAATCAGCACTTGGCTTAATTTCCTTCTAGTTGGTCTTTTATTAAAGCTGAATAATCAGATAATAATAAAACATGAACAAATATTAAAAAACAATTGGCTTAGGCAATAAAAAACACCAGTAAAGTCAAAAATTTTAACAAACAAATTTTAAGTTGAAAGTAAAGCGTCGTTCGTAATTAAACGACCAGCAATAATGCAAAATGTGATGAAATAAAACATCTGGAGAATATATTTCTCTTTCTAAAACACTGATTAGTTTTTAAAATATTTGAAGCAGTTTTGTAGAAAATGCACTTATGCAGAAGAAAAGCGGTGCCGGCATAGGTGCCTACAAGCCTTTACCACACCATTCTGTACACATAAATGGCTTAGTTATAGTGATATAATAAAGTTTTTGGTTCATTATATTGGTTTTATTAACCAATAAATATTAATGCAATCATTTAATTGTCAAAAAAAAATTAAACCATTTTTTTTTATTTATTATTTTATTTAACTTACTTTATTCTATACGGAGGTCATTTAAGTAGATATCTATTGTAAAAATGATATAATTATAATAATAAAACTTAATATATAATACTTTGCTGAATATCTTAAATTTTTTATTTAACGTTTGCAATTTAACACTTTGTTTTGTATATTTACTGATTCTTAGAGGTAATTTAAATTGTATATACTTTCCAGGAAATGAGTTATATCATTAAATGTTTTATGAACTAAAATAATATATACCTAATCCGAACTACATATAATAAATAGTTGCTGGGTTGTTTAATAAAATTTATTGTTATAAAATTGCGGAATAAATTGTTCGGAAGTTGGACTATATTATAAAAAAATAGGAAATTTTAATATTGAATGCATTATTCCCTCTGCACAAATTTAAGAATTCAAATTAGATGAGATTTTACTAAAAAAGTAATACCTTTACTAAGGACCTATTCATTTAATTTATGAATTAAAGAGAAGGATGGTTGGGTGATCAGTCAAATAAAAAATGGCCAAAATAAATATTTATTTTTACATTTGCCTATGCTTCGACCCGAAGTTCAGGCCTTTATGAAGGCTGAGAAAAGAACTAGATAACAATACGTTTTTCTGTTCTCAGCCCTTATGAAGGCCTGAACTTCTGGTCGAAACGTCGGCAAATGTAAAAATAAATATCATTATTTATTTTTACTATTTTTTATTTGACTGATCACCCCAACAATCCTTCTCTTCAATTATTCACTGCAGTCAACCATCAATCCACAATCTTTTAATTTATGTTTTGAAATTGACTACATTTTACATCTATTTTTTTTTTTGTTTTTTGTTTAAATTTATTTTTTTTGTTAAATCCTTAGAACTTTTATTTCTAAAACTTTCTTCCTAAAATGTTTCAACAAAGCTATTATAATAGTTCTAATCGTTGGTATTGACTATTTGATACCAAGAAATATTTTTCAAAAAATTTATGTAAAAAAGATTGTTAAAGAAAATAGACCCCAACCCCTAAAGGGAGAGTAAAACATTGTCGATTAAAATAAATAAAGAATCTAATGTGTGAAATTTCACAAATTGGTTTATATTAAAACAAGTTTTGAAAAAATAGTAAACACAATATTTCAGAAGTAAAATAATAACCAAAATTTCACTTTCTTTAAGTTAGATATTATTAATTATCCTATTCTTGCTAGAATGTTTCAACTTGTAGGCATCCCCTAATTAAGAGTGCAATGGTCTAACTACCCACAGGGTTAAATATAAGTTGTGTTAAATTGTTGGATACGCTTGAGACTTACTATTTTTATCAGAAAAAGTAAGTTGTAATTCCTTACTAAGAAATTTATATAAATCTATACCTGCCCTTATAGTACTTCTAGTAAGGGATCAATATCTAAAAGCTTTACTTTTTTACTTACACCATTTTAAATGGTTGAATAATAAGTATTTCTTAGATTAAAACTGGATCATTGTCAGTTGCAAAGAAAACATTAATTGAAAATTTTTGAGAAATTTAATTAAATTACATGATAAATCAATATTGTAACATTAAAACCTTCTGTCATCAAAGGAACAAATTCTATAAATGTAAAACATAGTATGATAAGTTCTGACAAAAGTAATTGACTTACATAGGCTTTCTGTCTTTCTATTTTAGCTATTAGCATATAAATAGTACTATGAACACAAACCAATCAAAATTTATGAGAACACTGATACACTTGATAAGGATATTGCAGCAACTTGATACTTTTCAAGAGTTTTCTTGTTTTCCAGAACTGACACCCTTTCTAAATGTGATGTGAGGAAATATATTTCCTCCACACTAAATATTTATTGAGTCACCCATAGATAATAATAATACAACAAGCTATTGTATGGTAACACCACTGTTACCTTCTACTACTGAATCATTCAAGGAGAATGGGGAAAACAACGTTCTCATTGAGTTCGGCAAGAATTTCCTCCCAAACCTTTTTTTACTTTCATTTCCCTATATATGTAATATATAGTAAGGGTAAGTATTGCGATTGTGAAAATTCTTGAATCTGAGTTTTCAGCGAAAATACATTTTTTGAGGTCTCCGAAGTCAAATTAACCAAGTCCCGCCAAATGGTTTGTGTGTGTATGTACGTGAACAGTCTAGCTCAAAAACGAGTAGTCATACAAAACTGATATTACGTATTTAAGTACGTATACTCAGATGTTACAGCAACTTTTTCCTTAAAATCGGCTAACTGGAAGTGCCACTTTATATCATAGGTGAAACACATTTTTACAATTTTCTCAAAAACGCGTCTAAGGTTTTGATTAAACTCAGTGAACCATTGTGTAATTAAGTATTCTTTAATATGGTTTATTTAAACAAATTAACTCTCTTTTATTGACAGACAATGTTTAAGAAAAGAAGAAGCATTTATGTATCATTATCTGGCTAGTATAAAACTAATTCTATGAAGTGGAGTGGTGCCCACGAGCTCTGGGTTGGAAACCTTTGGCCTAGGAATTGACTTGTGTAGAAAATGTAGCCAATACAATTATTCAAAAAACCAATATATCAACCTTTCGGTTTTATTTTATCGAGATTTGTAAAGTTTCACATGGTGGTGTCACAGTTAAACCTTTATTGAAATTAAGGGCACCAATATTCCATGGTATACTAACAATATTCCAAAAAATAATATTTTCGCCTTTTTAGCCTTATTTTATCAGGGTTAATAAAATTTCACTTGGAATATTCTCTTTTTGAAAAGTCTGAAGTTTCTTCAATAACTTGCTTTAACCTATATAATATATATTTTTTAAGTTAGATACATTAGATTCTGATTTGTTTTGTATGATAATATTGATAAGAAGATTAACCTGCTAACTGGGTAGGACGAAATATCTCTTAACTTTTTTTTGTTTTTTTTTCCTTTTATAATATGTTATAAAATATTTGGTCGAAATAAATAAAATCAATAAGTTAAAAATTACTTCCTTTTAATGGTTGAGGTGTGATGATATTAGTTATAATTATGAAAAAAAAAGTCCACATTGTGAAACGAGTTGAACAAAATTTTATTCTCCGGGTAACAGGTTAATTATATTGTGCATTTTGTTGAACTAACTCTAATATGAATGAATGCTTTGGGATATAATTTGCAAGTTTTACGTTTTATGTATAAATTTCAAAATCTATTATCATTATATAAATAGTTTAAACTAATGTAAAATAATAAAATAAATTACACTATTATGATAAAATAAGTAAATAATGGCATTAAGAGTAATAGTTTCACAGTGGTAATATGTATTTTTATAAAGGACCTATTTTTTTTTGGATAACTTTTAATTAATAGCCTTAAGGTTCAAGTTTTCTTTCTTAGATTTATATTTTTTTCTTTAAATCTGGTTTTCTTGTGTCTGTTTTATCTTTAACTCCTCATTTTATATTATTTTAGCATTGTCAAGTTTTGGAGAGACCACCTCCTAAAGATGGCTTACCGAACTACACTGGGAGTGGATACAGAAAAGTTTTTGAAAAGTCTGAACTTGAATTGCCTATTAACAACATTGCTTTATCAGGCGAATATGATGTAATTCTACGTTATGATAAGGTAAATGATTTTTTATAATTTATTTCTGATTTTATTTATATTTTTTTAATGTTCTTAGTTTATAATTAGATCTAACAAAAAACTATTTTAATCAGACCTAGCAAAGGTATTTTAATTGTTTTCAGAAAAAATATTTAAATATAAAATACTGGCATCTCCTGAACTGACGTTTTACAACTGATTCTTTAAGAAATAGGTTTATTTTTGCGAGGAAAGGATTTATGAAATTAAAAGACAGTGGATATAATTTAAAAAAAATAATTGGAAATAAATTATTTTATTCAATTAATGTTTTTTCTGAAGAATTTATCATTTTGACAAGTGACATTTTAAATTATTTAAATATTCTTAAGTTATTGAATCCTCTGTTTTCCCTTGGTAAAAAGAACTTGAAAATACTATGAAAGGAAACAAAAAAAAGACATGTTTTTTCCAACTAAACAACTGTTGATCCACCTTTATTTGTTTATTTAACAAAATAGGCTCCTATACCCTATCGTATGATATGACTCCAGAATCCTGCCTAATTTTTTAAGTCTAGTTAATGTTATGGTCAAAGATAAATGTATTACAAATTTAATACAATAGAAATATGTTGTAGAAGTGATGAAAAGTATTCCATCATAGGAGCATGTAGAACTATCAGCTAATGCTATTCTTCAGGCCAGTCCTCCCTTCCTACTCATCGTCGTTAAAAGGTTAAATGAGTTAAGAAATATTAGATATCACTAAAACCCAGAGATGAGCAAAAGATGGGAACTTGTAAATGAAATGAGTGTAACACAAAATTTAAATATAATTTCTCCATTTAACTCGACCATTAAATAGACTGATTCGAAGAGTATCAACGAGTAATGTTCTCAACTAGATAAGTATATAAACATTTTCAGAGACTAATTTCTCATCAATGCTTCCCATAGACTGGATGGGACAAGAGTGCCCTCACTTCTTCCTAACGCCTGCTTCTAACATCTCCAATGGTTATTGAACTAAATTATTATTGAAAATAAATAATCTTAATGATTTTCTTATAAACCAATTTTTTTTTCTGCAGCGTGTCAGTTTTCTATATGGTGAGATGTTACATCTATCTTGTTATCCCATATGCACTTACTAGTAGACCAATTTCTTCTGTTACTCTTATCAGAATCTTAGAGAGTTTCTCAGTGTCCTCGTGATTGATTGTAAGGACAGCTTTATCATGAGCATATCCCCGCCTTTGCAATTGCTGCACTCATAGATGGAGGAGTCTTTCTTTAGGAAAGGGCAGATTAGGCCTGTATTCTAACCCTCTATATAAGATGTGTCTTCTTCTCGTCCCATATTTTTTGGATTAGTTGTAATTCGGCTCTTAAATCTTCTCCCCCAACTTTATACAGTTCTGGTGGTAGGTTGTTCCATTACTACACTCATACATGAATCCTAAAATTACATATTATCCTTAAATAATGTTTTTAAGTGTGACATTTAAATTATTTTTAGGTACCATTAGAAGTTTTGAAAATTTAACATTTTCCTTAAAACCTCTTTAAAAAATGTTCTTCAATGCCGTATCTATTTAATCTTAAAATATAATTAACAGTTAAGTTTTAAAAAGATAATAGCTGTGATTTTCTACGATGAACTGTAAGTCACATTTATTCTAAATAGCCAAAACTTTATACTGAATCTAAAAATTTTTTGATGATACTTGATCAAAAGATATTAGACACATGTCTGAGGGTTCTTGCCAATGGGAGGCCGTGATGGGCAAGCGTGTTGGAGCGTTACCTGCTTCAACATTCTTGAATCTAGCAGTGCAAGTTCGAATCTGGCCTGGGAAGGTTGAAAGTTATTTCATGGCAGACTCACGTCTTTTTTTGAATTTTTTTTTCGTCTTTTCCACGTTAGAATAGTTTTGGTTGTATGTCTACAATAATTTATAGCAATCAAATAATAAAAGAATTTTCCTCTTCAATGCAAAGTTCTTATGAGATCTGGCTGTGTTTATATCTATCTGCCAAATATAACATTTTTTCTAAACCAACTGGGTATTTAGAGAAAGCATTAGATGCATAAAGCCAGAAGTATGTTTTCCTCTTTGGTTCAAATATAACAATAATATAGTATGGTAGATTACTATAAACAAAACATTTTTCTCCAAAATTTTTGACTAATTTAAATTTAGTTAGAATTTTTTCGAAAATGAAAAAAAAGAAAAAAGGTATCATTGATATTGGTGATCACACATGCATAACCTCTCCTGGAAGTCTTCATCAAAGTGAGACTACATTAAAGATTAGTCATGCCTACCTTCAATAAGAAACCAGATTTTAGAGTACTTTCATCAACAAATAACAAATTAAGATTCAATGGTATGTTCTTGGAATTTTTTCTATTATCAAAAATTACAATTTTTTTTTTTTTCAAGTTTCTTATCTTGGCTTATTTATATACTTCAACCTATACCTCCGTTTTCTGATATAATTTGTTTATCTTTGAGACCTGATGAGGATCCACATGCTTGAATCAAAATGTTGGAAAGTTTATTAAACTATATAAAGACTCCAAATCATCTGTAACGACATCAGTTATTATGTATTGGTTATAGAGATGAATGTTTCCGGATTTTCAAATCCTATGTGATAGGATTGGTTATAACAATAATCTACTAAAATAACGGTATATGCCTGGTCTCTTGAATGATGTTATAAACTTTATTTCTCCAATTTATACACAAAAAGAAATCAAGTCCCTATACAATCATACTTATGCTTATCCAAATTCTATCTATATTATCCTCTTTCTTCAGGAAGGAGGAAGGTAGCTAACAACTTACTGTTCTCAGTCCAGTGACAAGTGCTGTTTGTAGCAGCCCACAGGAGTTTTACCTGCCAATTTTTTTTCTGAAAATCACAACAATTGTGATAACTTCAAGATACCCCACGAATCCATAGGACACAAAACTTGTCAGGAATTTAGAGCACTATAAACTACAATAAATGGCACAAACCTGTCCTCAACAAACAAATTAGAATCAGGGATATAACATAAAAACTTTATAGATTTTCTTTATTTTTACCCTATAAAGCTATAAAATCTAAATTTATTAATATTGGTTGCAAAAGCAGTAATTAAGCTTTTTAACAATTGTAGTAAACTTGAATTTGGTGAAAATCCTAAGGAGTTACGAATGAATACTTTAGATAATAATATATGGGGGGGGGAATCTAAAAACTTAGATAAAAATTTGTATTTAAAAGTTTTAAATGATGCTAAAAATGAATCTGGCTATCTTTTTCATAATAACAATTTACTTGGTCTATTCTGCTAGAAGGTCTTTTGGTTTTTGCAGAGATGGGCAAATGTTACTCTGAGTACTGAGTACCAAGTATTTTACTCAAATTGACTCACTAATGAGAATTCAATTACTACTCCAGTTAATCATTTGACATCAACTGAAGTAGTAGTTTAATCCTTTGGTACTCCAAAAGGTCAGTATTTAAGTGAAATACTTGGTACTCAGTACTCAGAGTAGCATTAGTCTTTACAGATGATATCCAGTGTATTTGGAAATTGGAAATCCAATAAAATAAAATAAATTAGAGCTTCATAAAAATACCTATCATCCTTAAATCATGTTTTTCAATATGACATTTACATTATTTCGAGGTACCTTAAGATGTTTTGAGGTTTCATAAAATTAAACATTTTACTTAAAGCCTTCTTAAAAATGTTCTAATATGTCATATTTATTTAGATTTAAGATTTGATCAACAGTTCAGTTTTAAAACTACAATATCTGTAATTTTCAACTTGAATCACAGATATTCTAAACAGCAATACCACTACCTCTTATTATAAATGCAAAATGTTAAAAAAAAAAATTTTGGTTTGGAGATGATATAGTTGACTCTTAAAATTATGAGGATGACAAATGATCAGGATTTGGAGTCTTTTTACATGGTTTATTAAACTTGCTGACATTTTGATTCAAGCATGTGGATCATCATCAGGGCTCTTAAGATAAATAATTATATTAGAAAACGGAGGTAGAGGTTGAAGTATATAAAGAAGCCAAGATAAGGAACTTGAAAAAAAAAATTAGTAATTTTTGATGCAAATTTGGCAGATAGATATAAACACAGCCACATCTCATAAGAACTTTGCATTGAAGATGAAAATTCTTTTATTATTTGATTGCTATAAATTATTGTAGACATACAACCAAAACTATTCTAACGTGGAAAAGACGAAAAAAAAATTCAAAAAAAGACGTGAGTCTGCCATGAAATAAATTTCAATCTTCCTAGACCAGATTCGAACTTGCACTGATAGATTCAAGAATGTTGAAGCAGGTAACACTCTAACACGCTCGCCCATCACGGCCTCCCGTTGGCAAGAACCCTCAGACATGTGTCTAATATCTTTTGATCTAGTATCATCAAAAAATTTTTAGATTCAGTATAAGAGGTAGTGGCGTTGGCTATTTAGAATAAATGTGACTTACAGTTCATCGTAGAAAATCACAGCTATTATCTTTTTAAAACTTAACTGTTAATTATATTTTAAAGCTAAATAAATATGGCATTGAAGAACATTTTTTAAAAAGATCTTAGGGAAAATGTTTAATTTTCAAAACTTCTAATGGTACCTGTAGTAATAGAGCAACCTAACATCAGAAATGTTTAAAGTTAAGGGAGAAGACTTAAGAGCCAAATTACAACTAATCCAAAAAATATGGGAGTAGGAGAGGATACCTCTTATATAGAGGCTTAGAATACAGGCCTAATCTGCCCTTTCCTAAAGATAGGCTCCTCCATCTTGACATTGAGAAACTCTCTAAGATTCTGATGAGAGTAGCAGAAGAAATTGGTCTACAAGTAAATGTATATGGGATAATAAGATAGATGTTGAAACATCTCACCATATAGAAAACTGACACACTACAGAAAAAAAAATTGGTTTATAAGAAAATCATTAAGATTATTTATTTTCAATAATAATTTAGTTCAATAACCATTGGAGATGTTAGAAGCAGGCGTTAGGAAGAAGTGAGGGCACTCTTGTCCCATCCAGTCTATGGGAAGCATTGATGAGAAATTAGTCTCTGAAAATGTTTATATACTTATCTAGTTGAGAACATTACTCGTTGATACTCTTCGAATCAATGTATTTAATGGTTGAATTACATGAAGGAATTAAATTTAAATTTTGTGTTGTATTCATTTCATTTATAAGGTATTAAATTCATTCAAAGTGTCAAAGTCATTTGTGTGTAATTTATTATTGTTTATGATAATATACACATTTCAAAATCCTTTACATCTGCATTGTACTTTAAACCATAATTCTTTATTAATAACTAATTATTTTATTTGTTATTAGATACTTTAATAATATTCTTATTTACACTCAATTATACAATTAATCATTTCATATATGAAAATACATCATTACATCATATTTATATGTATACTTTTTTTTCCTCCCCAAGCCTGAATATGATTGGGCAGATGTTACGGCACAGTTACTGCGTGAAACTCCTGTTGATTATACTGGTGTTTGTGCTAATTTCCAGCCTTCTGATGACATAAAAAAATTTCAACCAAGATCTGGTAAGGATTGTATTCTTTTAATTTAATGTTTTAGTTATTATAAGTAATTATATAAAACCATTTGTGATTCATTGATTAAAAATTATAAGAAATGTAACTAATATTTTAATAACTTATTTTCTAAATAGCTTTATTATTAATTATGAGTTATATATGGCATAATATAATATTGTATTGTGATAAGGATGCTTATGCTTCAGAATTTGATCGGGTGTTATAAAGAAATGTATATGTATATGAATGAAGGATATATACTGAAACAAGGCATACCATATTGTGCTCAATATGGATCCTTAACTTGTTGGGCAAAGTTCTAGAAACCCTCATGCAGCACCTGAAAGGTGTAACCAACCAGCTCAATTGTAATCAGTCTTGTGCTTGCGAAGGCCAGCCAACTGACACTATCAACCTATTCATATCATCCGCCAAGGACTCACCTTCTAAATACTTTGTAGTGTTCTTCTACGATGTTGCTGGCATGTTCGATACTGTTGGAAATATCATGTGTGTATATGATGTTTAACAATGGAGTGAGTACTAGCCCCTCCTGGTCTCCTGCTAAGCCTGGTATAATAGAAGAATGTTCTGAGCCTTGGCAGAAAGAGAAAAATCTGTCAGAAAGAAAAGACTGGAGAATAAGATAGGAGGTAGGAGGAAGTATTGTCTCAAGTTTGAAAAGAAACTACCAATGTCATATTTTATTAAATGGTTGAGTGACATCCAGAAATACTCCTGTTGGATACAATTTCTGCGCTAGTGCTGTCACAATGTAGTGAGGCACCATGTGTAATTGATGGATAATTTAATGCTGTTGGCCAAATCCAAATTGATGATTGGATATTATTTTATCATTCGTCAGTATGTTAATAAGTTTTTTGTAGAGTAGTATCTTAGAGATTTTGGAACATACAGAAGCAGGATAATGGATCTGTATGATTAAGGGGTGTATTTGTCCTTGTTTGGTTTGTGAATCATAGTAATGTATTAGCTTTTCCACTGTATGCGAAATTTTGTTGTTTTGAATATTTTATTATAAATAAATGTTAGGTAAACTAAAATTATCTTTGGCATTTTCTGTTTCAGACTCTACTTATGTCAGTGCAAACGGATCATTATGCCTTGAAAAAGACAAATCATATAAGCTGAAACTTATTTTCAAATCTGATAGCAATCAGGTGGATGCTCCTTCTGCTTCTATTCTAATTGATTCAGTAAGTATTATCTAAAATAATGAAATTTGTTTATAAATGTTAATGTCTTTTGATTAATATATTATGTTAGTGTCGCTTCAATAAAACTTACACCAGTCCAACATTTATTTAATATTTAATATAATGGTAGTGATATATTGATTTGTGTATACAGAGGCTAACTTCCTCGTTACATATTGCAGTAAGATAAAAAGTAGTAAAGATATATATATTTTTTTAAAGTAAAAGTTACAATTAAATTTAATTCTAATTAAAGTAGATCTAAATCAGTATCTAATTTTGATTTATAATTCATAATTAATTAATAGAATGTGGCTCACTTAATTCAGAACCAGTAATTATTTTACTGAGGAATATTTTCTTTTATTCCCTCATATGGCAATGTTTTGGACTTTTTGTCCATCTTCATGACCCTCTTTCTAAACCAATTACATTAACATTCATATCGATTTTATATATAATATATTATTGTACTTGAGAAAATCCTGAATTTATTGTCAAATGCTTAACTTTTGTACTTTCATTTGCATATTTATGGAATTTTTTTTTTTTTTTCTTCCCTACCTCGCCTTTTAGGCTATACGGGATTTTCCTGGGCCGGGGGGTGAGGGCGGGGAATTTAAAATCCCCTCAGGCACCGGGACGCGAACTCGTACTTTTTATATCATCTCAAATCTCTGTTATCCGGTTGCCAGGCAACTAGCGGTGCTGTTACACACGCTTTAGCCTATTCGGCCACCCCGCCCGAAAATCATATTTATGGAATATAGGATATAGGAATAAAGGAAAGTAATGTGGTCATGAAAATTTTCAAAACTCAGTTTTCAACGGAAATACATGTTTCGAGATCCCCTGAGTCTAAATAATCAAGTTCCACAAAATGGTCTGTGTTTTTTTTTATTTTTTTTTTTTTTATGAGAGTAGTTGGAAATTTCCTAAAAGACGCGAATAAGCCTGTACCTATTCGCCTGTGGGATTTATACCAACTAAAACTACCTCCCTACACCCTCCACGGGACTACCATTAGGCATTACTTCATGGAGGGGGAATAGCTGTGTGCTACCTCATTTTCTCAGGCTACTTTCTGGTTCGCAATCGCCTTTCCTTTTTCTCATTGCACTCTTGAGAGAGCAGCATAAGTCTGACGAGATTATCAGCTGTGGGTTCTGATCCACAGTCATCTTGAAATTCTTCTCTTTATACAAAATAGGCAGTAGTAGTGGAGAGGCGTTTCAAAAAATTTGTTACATGGTGGGCCAGACCCTCCTATCATGCACTCTCCTCTCACATCTCAATAAATTTCATATAGTTGTGTTCCTTGTTACTATTTATTAAAAAAAAAATGCCAAAATGGTTTCCAAACCTGGCGCATTAACATCTCTTACTCAAGTTAGTTTTTCAGTCACTAAGGTTCAGCATTTGGCTTAATTTTGTTATAATTGGCCTTTTAAGTCATAATTAAAGCTGCATAGTTAAAAAATAATAAAACGTGAACAAATATTAAAAAATAATTGACCTTGGCAATAAAAAACATTCTTAAAGTTAATTTTTTCAGGATGTTTGAAATAAAGTTAAAAATCAAGCATCATTTATAAATAAACGGCTAACAATAACAAAAAGTGCACCGAATAAATCATTTGGAGAATAGATGTTTCTTTCTAAAACACTGATTGATTTTTAAAATATTTGAAGCAGTTACTTAGAAAATACATTTAATCAGCGGAAATGCGACACTGGCATTGGTGCCTTGAGTCCTCTGCGACACCATTCATTACTTACACATAAATGGCACAGTTATAGTGCTATAATAACGTTTCTATTTAGTACACTATTTTGATTCCATTAATGAACAAATATTAATACAATAATTTAATTGTCCAAAACATTTTTTTTTTCTTTTTACGTCCTGTATTCTTGTGTTCTAAAACATTTAATCATCATAAAAAATCATGTATTTATAACTTAATTCAGTAATATTTAGCCATTAACCTTTTTTTTTTTTTTTTGTATATTTATTAATTATTTAAATTTTATGTAATTTCCGGAAATGAATCTTATCATTGTCTGTTTTATTAACTAAAATATATGCATGCTTTTTACGAGTTTTTGAAAATGTACCCATTTTGAAAGCTCGATACCTCGTTTCCTGAGTGATTTAAAAAAAAATGTTTCTTACATAAATGTTAGCAAATTTCAGACAGTTTAAAATTGAAAGTAACCAATTTTTAGCTTTAACACTTTAAAAATGAGATATTTAGTAAAAACATCCAAAATTTCAGTGGTTTTTGTAGCACTGCAGCGAACTCACAAGCCTTTCGAGGGCGAAAACTTGGATTTTTTTATATTCACCATACACCTAACAATATAAAAAAAAAAATTGTTAATTACCCGACCTTTTGCAAGACAGACCCCTTTTTTTGTGCTAATTTGACTGAGCTATAAGGACTATTCCCTTTAATAAGAAAAGTTGTTTGCTCTTTTAAGATGTTACATGTCAAACAACTATAATAACAAACATTATGACAATCAAAACAAACAGAGAACAACAGGTGGAAGGTTAGTAATGGTTCACTTTAATGCTGCCAACTGACCCTTGAATAGAGATCAAGTGATCATCAGTTCGCTATAATCTTACAACTGATTGATGCTATGAACTTTTTGATGGTATGAGTTCAAATTTGATCTGAGGTCAGTTGAACCTTATTTTGAATTCCTATCATACAACTAGCCCTTAAGGGCAGAAAATATGTGGTCACATTAACTATAGATGGCAACATAAACACACCATACCTCTAGTTCACTTTCTAAAAGTTTGTTTCTTTCTTTGATTGTTCAACTCCACAGTTTTCTTTTCTCAAAAAAATACAGTTTTCCATCCTCAGATTTCAATATCGGTATACAAGTGTAAATAGTATCGAACAAAAATATTCATACATTTTGTAAAAAATAATGATATATCAATAGTTTTCCAACATCCTAAAAGAGAGAATTTCTAGGGTGTCTGAGTTAAGTATACAAAAACATTTATTATAATTAATGATGTGAAACTTTTACAATTTGGGATTAATCAAATAATCATTCAATTGTTTATACTAATCATGTTATTCTATTTACTTTTGTTTAATCATAATTTTTAGGTGGCCTTAATTCCAAAAAGTGAATCTATACCATTTTTCCACGGTAGCCCTAAGAATGATAGAAGAAGAAAAGAATATGATGATTTCAAATGTAACGAAGCATTCTTCACACAATTACATGGCAATAATATTTCTGATATATGCAAAAAATATCATTTCAGTATTTCTGTTAATATTCATGGTGGAGCTTATGGTATGTTTACTGCTTTTGAATAGCATATTTTGTTGTTAAGTTAAGAAATTAAATCTCAGCTATGAATATTGGATTGTTCTTTTTCAGAATGTAGATGTGATCCTACTGGTTCTAAAAGTGCCTTTTGTAATGAAAATGGTGGAGAATGTGCTTGTAAGCCGAATGTTGTTGGGCGCATGTGTAACAAATGTATATTTGGCACTTACGGTTTCAGCCCAGATGGTTGTAAAGGTATTATCTTTTTGTACATTAGATGATAATTTTATGAAGTTTATTTGTTTTTAGTTTTTTTCAGACCTAACTCTGACAATATTTATAACATTATATACATGCTATTTTACTTATCCTTAACATCTTGACATATGCATCCAAAACCTGGTCATGGCGTGAAGCATCTGCCAAATGTATTGAAAGGCTTCAAGGGAAGGTTCTAAGACCTATTAATGGACCTGTAAAGGAGAATGGTTCTTTTCGACTCAGAAATAACAAGAAACTGTATACACTATAAAATGACCTGACTGTTTCCCAATTTGTTTGATGCCACAAATTAGAAGGCTGGGGCACATGGTCCTCCCAAAGGAGTGAAGCCTCTTGGAAGACCAAAGGGAAAATGGTGAGATAGCATCTCCAAGGATCAGAAGAAAACAGGAATATCAATCCGTGCTACTGACACGGAGGACTGGGGAAGAGTGGTTGACCAAGCCATGGATCCCCTTCATGCATCTGTCTAGCCAATAATGAATGAATATACCTGCTATTTTTAAATTATTATGCTATTGATTTGATATTTATTGATTTAATTTTTAACTAGTAATTTGGTTATATTCAGTATCAAAGTCTATAGTTAGATTCTTGGGACCATAGTTTTTAAAAATACTATGTATCAATGTAAATTGATTACTTACTGATTTATTCAGACTATTCGGTATTGAAATCTGTTAATAGGTTTTGGGGGCGTAGTTTTTTAAAATATTATCAATTTTAATATAAATTTATTATAATGTCTATTTATTTAATTTTTTCAGATTTATTTAGTATCAAGCTCCACTCTATTATGTTATTGGGGACGCATTTTATAAAAATAATATCAAATTTAAGATGACACTATCGCGATCAAGTTTTTGGAACTGTTCGGATTTCTTCGATATAAGGGTCTATTATTATGTTGTCACAGGCGCTTTTTATGAAAACTAGCGTTCGCCACCAAAACAAGTGGGTGAAATTTGACCGTAATCATTATTGAACATTACAGGAAAACAAATAAATTTCAATCATGTTTTAGAAAATTGTCGAAGTCTTCGATTTAAGATAGTACGCTATAGGAAGGCTTTTCTCAGATGCGCCCACAGATAGGCTACTTATCTCCTGAAAGGTTGCTGGAATAAAGGCAGCTGCACCAGTTGTCACATTCACTGCCTGCCCTTTTGTTTCTTCCTGTAATTCCTCAACTTTAACAGTTAGGTCATCCGTCGATTCTTCTTCTAGGTTTCTTCAAGAGATGTTCCTGAAACATGGTGAAACAACTGAGAGGAAGACTTGTTCTCCTTGGATAAAAAATTTTCTTTGTGTTAGTAATAGGTTTTATGCCAGGATTCATATTGTTTTCACGAATATGGAGGTACAATTGATGCAAGTATTACTCCTTCCTGCAGCTGGCTCCATACAATGGGATTTCATCTTGTGCTCCTAGTAGGTTTATTTAATACATCTTATTTTTATCTGTCCTCTGCCATTCAGCCACTGCAATTATCGCCTAAAAAGAAGTGATAGATCCCGCCTCAGTTATCCGCAGGTTCCATCTGAATCCTCAGGAGGCATCAGGCACTTGGAGGAGACAACAGGCGTTGTTTGGGATTGCGAGGTCTGAGAATTCACAAGCAGTGGTTAGGACATTAAGGCTTCACGATTCTGCTAAGAGTATGGTAGAATACCACACCAGTCTCCTTTTCTAGTCCTCCTGTTACCCCACACATTTGCCTCCCTTGACTCGACCTTACTGCTATAATATAAATTGTACCTGGAATATCACTTGCATGCTAGCATGCAATCCAAGAAGATGTGATATATGTCATTAGCATTATATCTATGACTTTTTGCCTGTATCTATTTCCAAAAGATTTGTTATTAATTAAATGTGTTAAATAGTTAATATAACATGATAGTCTTGTGAAGAACCACTGAAGTATGAGGTCCCAAGGATAGTTTTTATGTTATAGAAAGGGGTAATAAGATTATGTAAAGTAAAACAAGTTGCAAATTATGTAAAGTAGTCATAGGCTCCATATTTGGTCATAAGCTAGTTCTACTTCAAAAAATACCCTGTAAAGTAAATTAGATGCTTCAGTTTAGGCAACTTCATGAAATATTGCTTGATTGCTAAATAAGATGTACAAAATTCATATAGCAATCTGCCATTATGGGAATTATCTATTTGAATCTATTTAGTCCCCAGAAGGGGGTTTCCTGGCGCAAGTTGCGCTATCTAAGTTTTTGAGGGGGGGCACATTTTGACAAAATTTTGATCTTTTGAGGGGACCACATTTCGATAGAGTGAAAAGTTTCATTAAATTTTTAGACTGAAAAGCTGCAAAATAGAGAACAAGATGGGAAACATGAGACAGACATAGTTAGTGTAATTGTTTATGATCTACGATTTTTCTAATTATACTTTTGCTTGCACTGTTTTTAAGAAGAGGTGAGTAATAAAAGTTTTGGAGGGAGGAGGGGTGATTTATGTGCCATCGACCTTGTGGGAGGGTGGGCATCCCTGAGTGTCCCCTCAAAAGAATGGTGCTTAGTAAAATCAGCTATGTGCTCTTCTCATCTATTCTTACCTGTGAGTTTTGTTAGTATTTCAGCTAAAAGTCTTTAATTATTGCTGTAGCTATAGGAAAGGAGATTACTACAATTCTTAAGAATTTTTATATTTTCTGTAATATTTATATCAATTTCATTAAACTGAGGAAGCTTATGTTTTTAATGGAATTTTGTGAAGGTAAGTTTAAGTTCGTAAAACAGCAAACAGAAATATTAAGGTTATCTCTAATAAAGCTATTGAATTCTTTGACCCTTGCTTTTTATTTATTTTTTCTATTATTTATTTGGTGTATTAATGATTACCATTAATGTTTCAGAATGTGATTGTAACTGGGATGGTGCTTTGGACAATGATTGTAACATGACTTCTGGACAATGTGTTTGTAAAACTGGAATTTACGGTAGAACGTGTGATCGTTGTCAACCAGGATCTTGGAATTTTCCTAATTGTGAGAAATGTCAATGTCATGGCCATGCTCATTCCTGTGATCCAGAAACTGGTGAATGTATTGATTGTAGAGATTTTACTACTGGCCATTCATGTGACCGGTAATTATTGAATTATATATTAAACTACTCGAATTTTTAATAAAGAAGTTTCTTAAAAAATATATTTTTAAGGTGTGCTGAGGGGTACTATGGTGAACCCAAGGAAGGAATACCTTGCAGGGCTTGTCGTTGCCCTGATACTATCGAGTCTGGTCATTCTTTTGCTTCTGCCTGTACACTTGATCCAGCTTCAAAAGATGTAAATTGTCTGTGTATTGAAGGATATTCAGGTAACATCATACACAAAGTTATACACTAAATACAGTTCCATGAATGGATTTATGATTTTAAATGAAATTAACACATATGTGATATAGAGTTTCTAATGCAAATTATTATTTGCTGGCAAGAAAATTTATAATCTGAATTTCTTAAGAGTTTATCAAAATCTTGGGGGTTTTGAAGGCAAAATTAAACTGCTCAAACTACCGAAATGGCATGCTATAAGTATACTCTCTAATACCATATTATTGCTTCCTTTAACATGGTAAATCCTTTCTTACCCAAAAAATCACAGTTCCTGCGCTGCAGCATGTGTACTAATAGGTTCTAATGAGACCCTTAAACTATTCTTATAGCAGTAAAATTCCTTTTGCAAGACTGAGCTTCATAGAGCTCAGTGGCATCACAGAAATAAATAGCTAGGGCTCGGTAGAGTTTTCAGCATGCAGGCATCGGCTGTCCAATCTCTTTTATTGAATTCGCTCCCCTTAATTCATCATTTCAAGTTTAATCCATTATCAGATTAAAGTAGATTTAATTTTTTAATCATCAGTAGTATTGTTAGCTTGTAGATATAGCTCAAATCTTGCTATTTACTCGTCTCAGTTACTAGTGGGATGGCTACCTTCTAATAGTTCTCCTATATTTGACGTATTACTACTGTAATTTTGTTTTCATTTGTACTTTTTCTGGTCTATAACTGTCTCTTGGTCTATTCAAACTCAACTCGAAACTTTTATTCTCCCCTGATTTTGTAAATATTGAATCTTCAATAAATAAAATGTTTCATAACTCAATACTTTTCGCAAAATCTCATTTTGCCAGAAATTTATTTTTATTCAATTATTAAAGCCTTAATTTTATTTTTTTTAATGAATTTTTTAAGTTGTTTGTGTTCTTCTCGATTTTGCTCTTTTGTTGTTTTAGTAATATTGAGTGCCGACCCCTCTATATATTGAGTAGGCAAATAAGTCCTTTCGGTTTTTCTCTTTACTTTTATGTCACTATCATACACTTCTTATCTGATAAATTAATCCCTAAGGTGGATTGTTAATCCTGTTTGTAATATATCAACAACTATATCTGTTAACTCTTGTTGAAACTAGCTTAGTATTGTGTTTGCTATTACACTGTGAATATGGAAGAAAATATTCATTATCAGCATATTTTGTTGTGTTATTTTAAAAAAGGCAAGCGTGCTGCAGAAGCTCATAAAAAAATTTGTAGTGTTTATGGAGATGATGCCTTAACCGTATGCACCTGTCAAATTTCATTCAGGAAATTTTGACAGCAATGATGCTCAACAGTCTGGTCGCCCTCATGAAATTGAAACCAGCAATGTTAAGGCCATTGTTAATTAAAATCCCACCCAATCAGTGCGAGAGATTGCTATGCCCCTAAATGTGTTGCACACAAGCTTAGAAAACAAGTAACACAAGCTCGGCTATGTTTTGAGGCTTAATGTTTAGGTCCCTCACTCTCTAACCGAAGTCAACTGTCAACTGGCAACATGCATTTCTGTTAAGGCCATTGTTGATCAAAATCCCACCCATTCAGTGAGAGAGATTGCTATGTCCCTAAATGTGTTGCACATAAGCTTAGAAAACAAGTTACACAAGCTCGGCTATGTTTTGAGGCTTAATGTTTAGGACCATATAAACTACACAAAATGACATCAACAGGACCTTCGTTAACAATGTCTAACCGAAGTCAACTATCAACTGGCAACACACATTTCTGTTAAGGCCATTGTTGATCAAAATCCCACCCAATCAGTGCAAGAGATTGCCATGGCCCTAAATGTGTCGCACATAAGCATAGAAAAACATTAGCACAAGCTCGGCTATGTTTCCACACTTAATGTTTGGGTCCCTCACATGATGTTTTTTTGAAAATCAAAAAAAATGTTATAATTTCAATACAATTTTAGCAGGAATTTAGGACCATATAAACTACACAAAATGACATCAACAGGACCTTCGTAAACAAACTACTAATGGAGATAAAAAATAAAAACCTATAAGGAGTTTATGTTTATTTATTCCTTATGTAGACATCAAATCAAAAAACTATTCATACGGCTTTGAAGAGCAATAATTCAGCTTTCCGGTGGATTAAATAATATCGAATTTGGAGAACATCCTGAAGAGTTATGAATTATCGGAAGGGTGTTGTGTTCCACCAAGACAACTCTAGGTCCCACACTTCATTGGTCACTCGCAATAAATTATTGAGCCTTGGATGGGATCTTTATCCCCACCCTCCCTATTCACAAGACCTAGCTTCAAGTGATTACTTGGATCAGTTTTTTAACAATAAACTCCAGACATTCTATGAACATGACATTATGCAGTTAATAGAAAGATGGGGAAAAGTCATACTAAATAATGGTTAATATAGTTTAGATTAAAATAAATTTTATGTCTATTATACATTCAGTTTTATTTCACCCTGAAAAACAGAAAGGACTTATTTGCAGACCCAATATTTCCTCCACCCATTGCTAAACCACTTACAGTATATCGCTAAATGTAGTGGATCCTTGACTTTATATAGTTAAATTACTTATCTCACAATTTGGTTAATATCACATTATGCAGTTAATAGAAAGATGGGGAAAAGTCATACTAAATAATGGTTAATATAGTTTAGATTAAAATAAATTTTATGTCTATTATACATTCAGTTTTATTTCACCCTGAAAAACAGAAAGGACTTATTTGCAGACCCAATATTTCCTCCACCCATTGCTAAACCACTTACAGTATATCGCTAAATGTAGTGGATCCTTGACTTTATATAGTTAAATTACTTATCTCACAATTTGGTGTTGCCTTTATTTTTATCAAATTTAAGAATTTATTTGTTGAAGTGAACCGCGGTTTAAGCAACTATAAGAACTCTAAAACTCTCTCTTTTTGTATAATCTTAACCTCCATAGGGATAGATACATGACAAAAGTATTTTAAATTTTTAAAAAATCCTTATTTTGAATTACACTTTATGTAAAATAACCTAGTTTTACTGATAATAATTGTATTGAAGTTATAACTGACATATTTGTAAAAAATATGTTTAATAATATTTTAGATTATTAGATTCTAACTTTTACTATATTATATTATCTTTTTTTTTAGGGCCTAGGTGTGATAAATGTTCAGACAATTACTTTGGTAATCCAGAAGAAAGTAATGGGTCATGTAAACCTTGTCAATGTAGTAATAATGTTAATATGGCAATTACTGGAAACTGTGACTCAAAAACTGGCGAATGTCTCCAGTGCTTGCATAACACAACTGGTTCACATTGCGAACGCTGTAAAGCAAATTTTTATGGAGATGCTTTGAATCAACAGTGTTCAGGTATCAAAATATTTTTGCACTGATTTTCCTGATGTATATATTTATATTCATGTTCATCATTTAACAGTATTTTAATGATTTTAAGACAATTTTGATGAATAAGAACATTAAATTATTATTCTTATCAATTTATTTATTACTGTTATTATTCATGGACTTCCGACAGGCTTATGCTAGTGTAAGCAGAAGTATGCTATTGGAGACTTACTCACAGTCATTGGGTATACCAAGTAAGCTGATAAGATTAACCTAGAAAAAACAAGTCCCAAGGTCAAAACCATAAGGATATATTAGATAGCTTTGAGGTTAACAGTATGGAGTGGGGTAGCTCAGTGGTAGGGCACTAAGCTTCCAATGTCCAAGGTCCCAGGTTCAAATCCCGGCTCATGGCAGAAAATTTATTTATTCTGTTTCACTAGCCGTGTGGCGACCCTGAGGTAGGGGGACCCTCCTGGGGCTCACCCAGCCTTTACAAAGTGGGTACCCTTAATTATATAATTAATTAAGGGGGAAAACCGGGCAGTTGAGTATGATCCTGGCCAGATCTCCTCCCTGCACAACTGTTGACCTTGAAACAGTACTTTCCCTAAATAGTACTGAACCCAAGACCCTTCATGAGTTGTAGTGATGCAGGTTTTTTTTGTTAGGTTTTGAGGTTAACAGTGGCTTAGAAGTGAAAATTCAAAAAATTAGAACTAACACTGGTGATACTATCTATAATAGACACACAGCACTGTACTAGCGTTCAAGCAGGCAGCTCAAGCTTTAGGACTCATTATAAGTACAGCTAAGACTAGGTATATGAAAACAGTTTGACATACCAGAGAGAGATCAGATAATGTTGAATTGGGAGAAGAAATGTTTTATAACTGATAAATTTATGTACTAGTGAGTTGTAGTAACGGAAAACAATAATTTGGAAGCCAAAATGAAAGTTACGAACTAGATGTTTCTACGCCCTGAAAAAGACAATCCAATAAAGTTTTTCCATGAAAGCAAAGCTTATAATGTTTAGAACGGCCCTTGTGTATTACAGTGAGATGCCGACTCTGACCAAGAAAAATAGGAGAATTCTGCTGGTCTGGGAGAGAAGTATAATAAGGAATATCTTTGGAGTAGTCAGAGAGCAGGATCGGTGGAGAATCCAAAGAAATGCATAACTGATGGAACTATATAGTAAGCTTGATATCCCCAGGCTATGTTATTAAGAAGAGCAGTCTCAGATGGCTGGTTTATTTTGAAAGAATGGATCTCTGTACTTGGAGAAAGAAGAAAAAGAAGCAGACATAGGCACCAATGGCTTTGAGATTTATGAAACTTTTTATATTGTTGTGGTTTATTTATAAATAAAGCCTTGAATCTCTAACATACAGGTGAACAGTTAACCTGCCAATGTTTCATTCAGCTTTGAAGCTTAATGCCTTAAGAATCCAAAGTAGTTTAAATTTCTTTGCTGATCTCATTTTTTATTATTATATTTTTTTTTTGTTAATGATCAGACCAATATATATCTAACATATTAGTTGAGACCTCATAAACTGAGAAACCTCAGCCATTAATACTATTTGAATATGGCCTCAGTGGAAGATTTTGAGAGCTCCTCATGTCATGGCGAGTGGGGGTAAAAGTTCTGATTTTTAAACAACCTCTAATATTATTTCGAAAATGACCTCTTAACAAAATTTATGCTAGCTTTTAATTAGTTCACATATTCTTTATAAATCTGAAAGACTTTTGGCTGTATCTTTAACAAATGTGTTTATATGAAATTTAGTATATAGGAAAACAAAAAGTAATAACTTAACCCCCATCCCCAACATGGAGTTAATTGTTACCAAGCTGGGGTAAGTTGTCACTAGCCCTATCGGGAACATAGATGATGGAGAATTAAGATTTTAATTTAGACTCATTTATTTAAAGACTAATCTACAATATCTGAGGAGTATTCAGTCAAATAAGTCTAATCATTTTAACAAAATCATGGAACAGCTGGTCTGTTTTTATAATTTATAATTAGGAACATTAATATTTAAAAAATCGTCAAATTATCCATCAGAATAGGATAAGTTGATCCGAGGTCATAACAAGCCCCAAAAGAAAGGAACATCTAGCTCCAAATAATACATTCTCACATAAAGTAAACCACCATTGCCCGACAGCCTGATCAAAGATATAATTTGATAAAGTAAGTACAAGCTCGCGTCCCGGTGCTGGGGGGGGATTTTAACTCTGGCAATAATCCCCACCCTTACCCCCGTGACTGATAAAACTCCCAAATAGACTAAAAGGCGAGGAAGGGGAGAACCAAAAAAAAACTGAAAGCTAACTAACAAAATAAGTGAAATTGACCAAAATTAACAAAGACAAAGATGTTTACTCTCCTGGATCATGGGCTAAGCACTCACATAGTGATACTACAGAATGCCACTAGCCTGAATAATATGGTGGTCATCAATGCGCTGATATAGATTTTTACTTTTTCGCGATGCACTTCAGACGTATTTATCTCTTTTCGTTTTTGAGAATCTCACTCAGAGCACCTTATCCTGGTAACTTTTAGTCACTCTCTCCTCAACTTGTTTTAACTCTTCCAATGTCCTACTATAGCAGGCAGCATCTTTGCTACCAGATGGATATTGTCTGTATAGGTTAGGTACCTCTGTATATCTATTATGGATTGGGCCCTAATTCCTTTCACAACATCTTGTTGCCTCAGGATCTTCTTTCCTGCATCCATCATTAATAGGAAACCACTGTCCAAGTGCTCCCTGCAGTTTGATCTGGCATTTAGAGATTCCCGTTGTCATGTTAATCATATGCACTATCTTCTTGGAGACTCCCGAATTTCGATAAATCATGCAGTAGATGTACCCCATCAACACAATTGTAGCCTTGTTGGAAATCTATGAAGAGATGGTAGGTATGGTGCAATGTAACATGAAATTCATGCTGCTTTAAAGCAAGGATATAAAAGTGCTGTAGACAACCATTCTCTCACTCATCCATACATAGAAAATTATTTCATATACCTCATTCAGTACTGCATCTCTGCCATACTTCTACTGTTCTGTTAGTATACAGTCAGTCATCCCCAAGAGTTTCATAATTTTTCATTCTCCTTTTTGAATATGATTTTCTATACTCTAACATATATTAGATCAGAGTTAATTTCCTTTAGCACTGAACACTTAAGTGAATAGGTTATAATAAATGTACTTATGCTTGAACTACTGAGACTCAGTTTAATGTTTTGTATTAAAAAATTATATAAGTGTAGTATATATACTTTTCATAAATTATTTTTTTAGAGTGCTTGTGCAACCTGCTGGGAACTAACGCGCAGATAGGGCCTTGTGATCATGTTACTGGTCAGTGCCCTTGTTGGCCAAATGTTGAAGGCCGTGATTGTCAACATTGTAAAACAGATCATTGGGCTATTGCTAGAGGTACCGGTTGCATTCCTTGTGACTGTGATCCTATTGGTTCTTTAAATTCACACTGCAATGAGGTTAGTAACATATTGCTAGTTTCAAAGAAAACTATCAAAACTCAAAAATATTTCAGATACTGGTACTTTTTTAAAACTTATTGGTTGTACTTATGTTTTATATTTAGGTATTCAATTGTTTCTGTTACAGTTTACTGGTGAATGTTCTTGTAAGGATGGTTTTGGAGGTGAAAAATGTAATCAATGCCAACCTAAATTTTGGGGTGATCCTAATAATGAATGCTTTCGTATGTATTAATTTTTAATGACTAAATAGTTATATAGTTTTATATTGTATATTAAATTATAATTTCTTTATTGTTTTCATTTTGTATTGAAATTTTTTCGAGTTTCATTACTATAAAAAAAAAAATTATCATTAATATAGTGTATTTACAATTAAACATTCAACTAGTCAATTACAAATGGTACATGAATAATAGTCAAATTCTCTATAGGTGATTTTCTGATTATAAAATAAATCAGATTAGATCTGATAGCAGACATTAAGAGCTACAATAAAGTTTATATAAACAATGGTCCAGTTTTCTGCAGATTAGTAGAAATGTTAATCTAATTTGCGCAAGCAATTTAACTAACAGCTCAGAGTTGCCTGAATCAATATTAACTTTAAGGCATTTCAGTGTTTGAACAATAGTTTAATAAATATCTAAAAAAAACCTTGCAGGGAAGAAGCACTGACAGTGAAAAATGGAATATCTAAAATCTGATCTAAGCATTCATTAATAGAAGCAAATTTAATGAATATCAGAACTTATCATTAAGCAATTTTAATGCCTCGACATAACTGTCCGCTGTGATAGGGAAAGCATAAATAATCTTTAAAGGCTCTCCATCAAACAATGAAATTAAGTAGTGGAATTCTAAGATCACAGAAAGAGAAATGTTGCTATGAATCAAGGTTTTGAATTTAGAATAAAATATATTGTAATCGGAATTACCACTAAAGCGATTCAAATGCAATTTAGCGAGAGTCAAATAGAAAGCACTGCCAACCACACTATTTAGGACTATGATTGACAGTATAGTTCTCTCCAGCATTTGTGGGACGACAAAATATTAAAACTTATTCTAGGCACAGGCCAATAAAACTTTTAATTTGCCTTGTACCGCCTGAATTACAGGCCAGAGAGAGAGAAAAAAGCTTATGACTCTGCCTTTAACACATTTAATCTTCCTTTTAACACAGAGTTTTCATTTGAAGATAAGCCTGGTTTAGCTTTCTCTTTAAAAGAGAAGAAAAAAATCCTTTATAGAAGCAATGTTTGAAGTAACGTGAATGAATAAGAAATGCTTTATTAAATATACGTATATTATAAATTTCAAAAATACACAGAACATTTATAAGGCATGATTATTTGTCTGCCGGAAATATTTTCTGTATATTGGAAGGGAAGATAGATGAATTAAATAAATTCATTACAGATATCAATAATATACATCCCAATATAAAATTCACAACAGAAATAGGTCCAAATAAAATTAACTTCCTTGGACTTGATCATTTCAATTGACAATGATTAATTAACATTTGACATTTACAGAAAACAGACATAATACCGTTTGACTCGTGCCACCCTTGGTCACAAAAACTCAGCACTTTTTACTGGCTAGCTAATAGGTTACAAAAAATATCTTTATCCCTCAACAAAATTAACAAAGAAAAGGTAATAATTTTTCAAATTGCATCAAATAATGGGTACCCCACAGAAATTATTGAAAAAATATTTAGGAAAATTGAAAGACAAAAATTTGAATACGCAACTTATAACAGTCTACAATAGAATAATATTAATGATTTCAGAACAATTACATATATAGGTCCTGATAGTTATAAAATTAATAGTATTTTTAAAAGAGACAAACAAATTGTGGCCCTTAAACCTTTTGAGAGTTTAAAAAACATGGTCTCCAGGACTAAACATCGAGTTGATCCTTTAAATAAGAGTGGGGTCTACTCGATAGAATGTTCATGTTCTGCGATTTATATCGGGCAGACGGGAAGAAAACTAAAAAGCAGAATTAAAGAACACCTCCCTGGTTCAGGCCATGCATCACATTTTAAAGATCATTTTTTAAATTGTTCACACTCACAAAAAAGTAATAAGGTAAAACTGTTGCATGCCATTTCAAAAGGGAAAATAATGGACTTTTTTGAAAAATTAGAAATTAAGAAAAGAATTATAAAAAATGACATAATATGCCTGAGTGTACAAAGTACTCGATTTGAGGATTCTGCACTCATAAAATTAGTGGCAGCTAATGAAAACAAGAAGAAGTAGTAGGGATAGCCCATCTGGTCAATAGTTTTATTTTTAGTCCTTATTTGACAAGCAGGAGAGGACCACCATCAGTTAACTGATAACCATTTTTATTAAATTATTTATTAAGATTAGATTTTAAATTGTTAAATTATAATAATTATTTAAGTTTTATTATTATTTGCAAAAGTTTTTTTTGTTGTTGTTAATCTTATTATTTTATTATTTTACCTAGCCCGATGAAGGTCTCATAAAAGACTGAAACCGGTTGCGTAAAAGTGAAAAATAAAGGAATATACAGAAAGACATCTTTTTTATTAAATTAAATTTCAATCCTGTAACATCAGGCCAAAATTAAGGAATAATAAACATTTTAAATAATTTATGTCTAAGAAATAATAATAAAGGAAAATAAGGGAAATCATAAACAATAACATGAATAAAACTGACCACAAATAAATTAGACGGATCATTGTTTATGCTGGAAAGGGTAATTTTTACTAAAATGGAGAAATGATAAATCTGATATTGGCAAATTTATTTTAAGCAGGGCTATCTCATACCTTAACTGAATAAGGATGGATATGAAAGAAAAGAAAGTAATTTCTGAAGCAGTAGTTATGAAGAGATATGTGACCGTGTTGGGAGATCGAGAGAGATTGTAAACTAGTTGGAAAAGAACTGTCCTCTGGTGGGAAAATTCAGAACTCAGACAAACGAGAGATGTGAGTGGCAATATCGAGAATGGTGGGATATTTGATTTGAATTCCCACCAATCATCTTTAATGAAATAGTGTCTTATATTTCTAATTAGGGATGTTGGAGGAAAAATATTGCAACTACCTTTAAGCAGGGTTATCCCATACCTTGACTGGATAAGGATGGATACGAAAGAAAAGAAAGGAATATGTTAAATTCTAGATATTAAAAAAAAAATAATTTTTGCTGTTAGAACTATTACAAATCTAATACTTCATTGTTAGCTCTCTTTACTTTCTTTAAAAGTAAAGAAAGTAAAGAGAAAGTCTCTCTCTCTCTCTCTCTCTCTCTCTCTCTCTCTCGCTCTCTCTCTCTCTCCTCTCTCTCTCTCTCCTCTCTCTCTCTCTCTCTCTCTCTCTCTCTCTCTCTCTCTCTCCCTCTCCCTCTCCCTCTCCCTCTCCCTCTCTCACTCTCACTCTATCTCTGTAACTGCTGGAATAAGCGGACTTATATGAATGAAGTCTTTGGTATTTTTTTACGTTATTCAGATTGATATTAGTTAGTAAATTTTATATCAGCTTTAGGTTAGTCTATAAGTTCTTGTTGTTTAGTTATAAATAGTTAAGTTTAGATTACTCATTAGATTAAGTTTTATTGATTATCTATAGGCTATTGTTTATTTTGAAATTTAATTGGGCTTTTTATAGTCTTCGTCTAAATTCTATACATCAATAATAAATGTTTGATTTTGATTATTTATTAATAAAACATGTGTTAGGTTGATAAAGTGGATACGTGAGGTTTTCACATGGTTGTCTATTTAAGTTCCCGTATATTTAACAAAACATTTGCCTTTAGCTTGTTCCTGTAATGAAGAAGGTTCTGTGAATGGGCATTGCCATCAAGCAAATGGAACTTGTCTTTGTAAAGAAGGGATTGGTGGTGAAAAGTGTGATACTTGTGCTCGTGGTTACAATGGATCTAATCTTGCTTGTTCAAAATGTGGAGAATGCTTTGATAACTGGGATCTTACCATAAGTGGTCTTTCAGGTAACTAAGCTTGTTTATTCATATAATATTTTGTTTTTAGGAAGAAATTATGTTGTATTTCAAATTAAAATAACTTATAATGTGTTTTTTAATTACTCTGTGTAATAATACTATATAGAAATAGATAGAAAAAAAAACTTTATTCTGGGACTAAGTCCCTTCAGAATAACAATAATGTACAAAATAATAGAATATTACTGGCCTGAACGTTGAAACAATAAATAAAATTGATAAAATAAAATAAAATAAAAAGTAAAGAAAACCTTAGGTGCACAAGCTATATACAATACAGATAAAACTATGTACAGAGCATTTAAAATTATGAACAAAAAAATTAAAACTATGAACAAATCACTTGAACTATGAACAAAATTATATTTAAGGGTTGAACAACATAAACATACACTTTGAGAAATGAAGAACGAAAAAGAGATACAATGAGTTCATTTCATAGAAAAAAACAAAAAAAAAAACTTTACTTGAATATATATATAAAAATAAACAGTTAATTATAATTGAATAAAAAAAAAAAAAATGTATGTATTGAAATTCCTACGTCGATAGTAGGAAATGCATGTACTATCTCTTACCAAGTGTTATGATTATATGATTGCTACACAATACATATATAATATTAATAGTTAGCTGGTATCTGACTGTTTTTGGAACAGGAATTGGAATAGGAGGTTTTTGAATGTGTACAGGGAAGGAGCATGTCGAATTTTGATCGGGAGGGAATTCCAAAAGTTGACAGAGCGGGCTATAAAGGAATTTTGGAATGAGGCAGATCTATGAGAAGGGATGTATAGGTCAGAGGGTCGGGATCTTGTAGTGAGGAAATGGATTGAGAACTTAAATTGGAGAAGGTTGTAGGCATAAGAAGGACGATGATCGGTAATGATTTGATAAAGGAAAGTGCCTAGGAAATATTGTCTTCTTAAGGAGGGGAAGAGCCACCCTAACTCAGTGTAGTGGTGGGAGACACGGGAGCGTCTCGGGGTCCCAATTACAAATCTTACGAAGCTATTCATAAGTCTTTTGAGTCTATCACGGAGTTCCACCGAGAGGCCATCGTACACCACACAGCTGTAGTCAAAGTGGGGAAAGATGAGAGAGGAAACTAGGAGTCTACGGGTATTTTGGGGTAGAAGATGGCGGAAGTGATGGAATAGATTGAGGGTAGAAATTGCACGGCGGGAAATATGAGAGATATGGTGATTCCATGAAAGGGTTTGATCTATGAGAAAGCCTAAATTTTTAACAAAGGGATAGAAGGTGATGGGGTGGTTGTTTATATAGAGTGTGGGAAAGTTGGTGTGGGATCTAAGGAGGGGCTTGGAACCAATGAGAATGGCCTGAGTTTTGGCAGCATTTAGCCTTAATCCATTTAAGTTGGCCCAGGCACTAATTCGATCTAAATCTTCTTGAATTTTGGCAAATGCCACCAATAACTCAGCGGGAGAAAAGGATAAATAGATTTGAGAATCGTCGGCATAAAGGTGGTGGGAACAATGGATAATTGAATCATTTAGGTCATTAATATAAGAGCTCAAAAGAAGAGGAGACATGCTTGAACCCTGTGCCACTCCTGAGGATAAAGGAAGGTAGGCAGATAGAGGTTGATTAGGTATGGAAACTGCTTGGGTTCGTTGTGAGAGGAAAGACTGGAACCAAGAGATGGAACTATTGGAGAAGGATAATGATTTTAATTTGTTGAAAAGGATGGAATGGATAATGGTATCGAAAGCTTTGGAGAAATCAAGAAGTATAAGTATGTTTAGTTTTTTGTCATCTATTGCAGTCTTAATATCACTGGTAATTTTAATCAGAGCAGATTTTGTAGAGTAGCCAGGACGGAAGCCAGATTGGAGAGGATCGAGTTTGTTGGATTGTTCAAGGAAGTTGGAAACTTGGGATTGCACTAACCTTTCTAGGGGCTTAGAAAGATTGGAAAGGATTGATATTGGACAGAAATCTTAGTGGTGAGAATATCAACCATGGTGTCGACAAAGGAGCAATGATATATTCCATTCAAATCCAATGTTACTAGATCAGGTAATATTTTTTCTCGAGTAAGGGTATCCAGTTGGCGGAAAGTGATAGTTCGAGGATGGATTGGAGGAGTGCGGATATTATACGTTATTTGTATCAGATCGTGAGATGAAAGAAAGGATACTGGCAATTGAGAGGCGGAGAGGAGGTTTTGTGCTGAGTCGATGATGTAGAAGTCTAGTCAAGTGTCAGATCTGCTGGTGTGGTGGGTGGAGGAAAAAGGAACGATGAATATGTGAAGTGAGAAAAACAGATTTTCTAAATAGGATTTGTCATTGGAGTTTGAGAGGAAATTGGTATTGAGGTCACTGGAGATAATTATTCTGGGATAGAGGGGAACAAAGTTGAATAGGGTTGATTCGAAGGACGGGTCAAATGACACGAGAGGAGGGCAATATACCACGGCGTAAAGGAGTTTCACTTAGAACTGAAGCAGTTCTAAGTGAAACTCCTAGAGGAACACACCTCCCTGATGAAGACCTGCAAAGTCGGGTCGAAACGTTGGCTTTCAATAAAATAGTTTTACCACTATTTAGCCTTTTTATGACCGCAACCCCGGACCATCTCCTTCCTTTATATTTTTTTTATTTTTTATTTATTTATTTAGATATATAATACTCTGTCTCGTGGACAATAATTATAGTGATAAATGGACACATTCACACCATATATACAGAACATACAAAATTAACAAAAGTAAAATAATAATCAAAAAGAACTATGTACAATAAAAAAAATGAAATAAACTAAAGATAAGTTAATTAAAAACATAAAAACACAGTCATACCTATATACAATCAGGCAGGGAACCCAAAGCCAGGCTTCTCCCTCCAACTATAGAAGGAAAAGCAGGACTCTAACAGATCCCTGCGCTACTCTCTCAACCGCGTCACTGGTGCTAAGCCAGTGGAGTTTGAGCGAGAGCACCTTAGAGCGTCAATATAAACAAAATAAAATTAATCACTTTGTAACTTATTCCACTTAATAAACCATTATCCCTTACAACAAGTATACCACTACCAATCAATAAATCAAGAAAGTTTAAAATGTCTAATACAAGTTAAGATAGATATATTAATACTGATAATTAATCATAATGAGTTTGATTAATTGCAATTTATAACGAAATTGGCATTGATTCTTTTAATAATATGCTTTATTTATTCTGGGACAAGTCCCCACACTGGAGTATCATTTCTTTTAAGTAAAATGAGCTAAGATTTTGATTTATTCCAGTGTATATTTTTGTTTTTGTTACATACTTCTTACATGATTTCCACCACAAGGTCCAATCTTATGTAATCATAATGAGTGTTTTGATCTGCTATTAATTTTTTCTTATTTTATTTTTATGTATTAACACTTGAAATCATTTGATTTTCTGTATAAAGTTTAATAATAAAAATACAATCTAATTAATAAACCAATTCAGATAAAACAATGGAAGTAATTGATGAAGCTGGCAATATGAAACGAACGGGTGCTACAGGTGCCTACAATTCCGCTTTTGATGACATGACTAAACAAATTGATGATGTTAGAAATGCTTTAAATAATACTAAGTCTAATAAAATCAAGTTAGATCTATTGAATGACCGAGTCAGTAATTTCAGGTAGATATCTCTCAAATCATGTTTCTTTCTTGTAATACTTCTTTACTTTTTATTAATAAGTTGTTAATTATTTTCTAGAAATAATATTCTAAATGATGCTACAGAAAGGATTAACAAGCTCAGTAATGTAGTACAAAATGTCATATCTAATATATCTATTGCAAGGTTATCACTAAGTACTGTAAATGATAAAGCTCTGACATTACAGTCTTCTGCACAATCCTTGAGTGAAAATGCTACCCATCTTCAGGAAAAAGATTTAAAAGGTACTAATTTATGTCTTTTACAATTAATATTTTGTGATTCACAATTTATATAATTTATGTGTGATTTTAAACAATAGGAGCTTTAAATTTAACGAGAGGGTATGGGGAGAGCTCAAGAAAAGTTTATGCAATAGAAAAAAACACCACTGAACTCTTAACTGAAGCAGATAGACAGTGTAGACGAACAGAAAACTTCCTTACTAAAGATAGTGATTCATTTACATCAACAGAACAAAAGAATGAAGAAAGTCAACAAAATTTGGAATTCGATCTTTCTCAAATTTTAAAGAAAATACCTGGTCTTAATGAAAAGGTATAATAACTAATACTGCTTTATCATTTTAAAGAATTACAGTTAATCTAATTACTTTGTTGGAAATGGAGGAAGAGAGATCTTTCTGAATTCTTAAATATGTATATATTTTGTACATCATAGAATTGGTAGTTTAGATAAGTTTTATTAGGCTTGCCAACGTTTCTACCCAAGCATTTGGATCATCATCAGGCTAAAACATAACAAAAAAATTTTCTTTTTTTTTAAATATCTGTTTTTGTGGTAGTAAAGAGAAGGTTGGCTGATTCATTGCTAATTTTTCTCTCTTGTCTATTTTTTTTCTAATTAATGATGGAATTTTATTGATGTAAAACAAATAATAAATGTATTATGATATAAAATAACAGTGATATCTTGACAAAATGATTTATCAATGGCCATAAAATAGAAAATTATCTTGAAAACATAAGTTATTGAAGGAAGTTAGTTGACTGTTCTTCATATCATGGGTGATAAATAGTTAGGACGCAGCCATGTGAATGGTTTTAATTGGTGCCAACATTTCAACCTAAGCATGTGGGTCATCAAGGCTTTTTGGAAATCAAATGTACTCATTTGCACATGAAGAGGATCATTACATTAATTATTATTAAAATTGTGAGAAATATGTATTTTTCCAATTTGACACCTGTTGATTTTTATACTTGAATGGGCTAATTCCTTTGAAATAAACTCAAACTTAAACAAAAGAGGAAATTATCCTCTGTTTAGTGCGTTTACAGCTTGTGTTCACTTCACTTCTTTTCTCGTAAACTTGTTTTCTTTTTTTACTAACTGGTTTTAGTATTTTTTATTAACTCTTTTTAAAAGTTCCTTCTGGGTATTAAAGAATGTCTTCACGATGTCTTATAGCACAAGAACTTGCAACAGCTGATTTATTTTCTGCCTTTATGTGCAAATTAGCCTTCACTCGGTTAGAAGAAGAATGATAGAGCATGGATTGCACTGTCGAAGATCTCGGCTTTTTCCAGAACTCACCTCACAACATAAAGTTCAAAGACCTCAATTAGCTCGGATTCACATATCATGGATTGATCATGCCTGGGATAATTGCCTTTTCAGATAAGAGTGCATTTTTACTGCAACATGATTCAAACTGAGCAAGAGTTACCAGAAGTTCTGGTGAGTGATATAATCCTTCCCTGGTCTTGCCTGATTACCCATTCAGAGGAGGCTCAATTACAGGATGCGGTAGTATATCCTTGAGCTCTCAAACAGAGCTTATGGTGTTACGCAATGAGACCATGACCCCTCAACATTACTTGGAGAGGGACTTAACACCAATAGTGCAACCTATCGCAGAAGCGATTGCTCCAGAATTCATTTTTATGGATGACAATGTTAGACTTGTAAATGCATTCTTTCAAAATCTATAAATTCATTGCCTGGATTGGCCTGCTTGCTCTTTAAACCTAAATCCCATTGAACAGTTATGGAATCAATTTCAAAGACGGATTTCTGGACAAAATTCTCTTCCACAAACTCTGGATAAACTGCACACAGCACTGTTAAAGGAATTTAAGACGAACCCTCAAGATACCATCAAAATGGTAATAAGAAGTATTCTTCATCATCTTCAGGCAGTAATAAATGATTCAGGTAGACAAACAAGGTGCTAACAAAAAAATAAAATAAAGTTTTCCAAAATTTTTAAATTTACTTTTTAATTTTGAAACCCCAAATAACCAATGTAAACAGTTTTCTTGCAGCAAATTTTCTTGATTATTACTTCTAAACATGTAAAAGTTTATTAGTTATCTTTAAATTGGTTGGTTAAATTAATTGTTTTGTTTTTTTCATCTTATTTGTAATGTTCCACATCATTTACAAATGAATATAGATCAAAAGTTATTAGGAAAACATTAGGCTTTGCTATTGGATGATAAAAGGATACCGTAAGGGGATTTGCAAGGGAAATCTAATATTTTGCAAAAACAAGCGATCTGGGAAAGTATTGTTAAGCATCAAATTGGAATTGACTGACTACCATTGGTAATAGCTAACCACTTAAAATGCCTCACAGATCCATATTTTCCCCCAATATTCTAAGGTGTTAAGAAATTTAAGATCCAATCTGCAGATTGCTACTATGCTATGAAATACAAAAGGCAGCCATACTTACATTCCAAAAAAAAATTATTATTTTGCATAGGTTCATTTATTTATTGTTATTATTATTATTTAATTACTTTGTATTGAATTTTATGTAATAAATGTTATTTATTTTTCTATTATAAAATGAAAAATAACATATCTATTATTTTATTAGATTTGTGACAAAGCAGGGGATCCATGCCACAACCTGTGTGGTGGTGCTGGTTGTGATAGGTGTGGAGGGCTTTCATGTGAGGAAGGTGCTGTTGGTAAAGCAGATACCGGACTTGATTTGACTGAAAGAATTAAGCTTAAGATCTCAGATCACTTGAAAACTGCTGAAATGTTATATCGACAGGTATTAAAGTTATAATGAATATTACATTACTGTGTTGATCATGCTCTTGAAGTTATTGCAATATTGATAAATAATTTTGTTTATAATTCACCACATGATGATATCACTGGGTGTTTATAGATGTTTTGAATACAACTAGTTAGTCAGGAATAATGTGATATATATATATATATATATATATATATATATATATATATAAAAGTTAAGGACTGTTAGGTTTAATATCAGCTGTTAGATGTATATATATATTGAGGAGCAAGGAGACAGCAATATTGATCAGTCTTTATACTACGGTCTTGCGTGTTATTTCAGCTCTCTCTCTCTTTTTATTTCTACAGGAGTTTTTGTTTTATTTTTTGTTCTCTTTTTTTTTCAATTTTGTCTTTCTTTGTCACAAAATAAGGCAGAAAAATATGGCCGCAGGCCATGCAAATGCCCTTGAATGGTTAAAATTAAAGACGGCAACATCTTAGGATAGATTCAGATGACGCAGACGCGTTGAAAGCAGCACTAGTATGTCGGGTCAAGTGGAGCTTATTAAACTGTAGATGCATGACAGTTCTTGTGGGAATGGACACCAGAAGAAGAAAGAGAACACAGTTAGGAGTTAGGAGTCGAAGGTGAAGAGAAGTCAACAAGTGAATTAAGTTCAACAGAAGAGAGCTCCATTGAAAAAGAAGAAAAGGACGTGATGATCAATGATAAGCACCATCAGACTATCTAGAAAACAAAGACCTCAGGGTTGATGAAAATGGTATGTGTATGGAAAGTCTAAAATCATTACCATATGGTCGGAATCAGGAGTGACTAAACCTCAGAGCGATTTACAAGTGGACACTTTCACTTGGAAGGGGTACAAGTGGATTACTATGATGGATCTGTTCAGCAAAGTAGCCATAGGATACCCAGTAAAGGAGCACTCGGAGGAGGCAGTGCTAGGAGCTCTACGAACATGGTTTCAATTCTACGGGATACCTGGCCGAATTTCATCAGATAGTCAAAACATTGAATGACATCATAATACACTAGGACATCCCAAGAGTAGACAAGGTATTAAACGGCTTCACAGTACGTTAGGGGATCATATAAGAGTATATCATGTAGGCAAAGGCCTAGAGGCAGATGCGACGATGCCTTGAGTAGTAGCAGAATATAACCATTCAATAACTCGCCATTCTCGATAACTGGATTTTCCCTATTCGAAATTCTTTTTGGACTCCGGGGGCGGGGAAGAGATAGTGGAGGCACAGCAGTGGACTAACAATTTTCTGAGCAGACGGTGAATAACCACATACAGCTCGGAAAGTTATGGGAGAAAGCTCGAGAGAAATTAGAGGCAGAAAAGAGAAGAAGAGTGATGCACAAAAATGTGAGGATCAAATACATCCTTGAAGAGACAAAAGTAGGCACTTTGTTGAAGCATAAACAGGGATCAAATAGAAGCAAGGAGCTGATCAGATATGAGGGTCCATTTATGGTAGTGGTAATTAGGGAGCAAAACCTAGTGGCGATTCAGAGTGTTAAGGAACCCAGAAAGGGGAGAACTGTTCATATTGAACAATTAAAGTTTCTAGGGGGAGAACCTGGGTAACCCATAGTCAATTAGAGCATCCTCGTCTCTGTACACTAGAAAAATTGTACATATAATTTAATGAATTTATATTGTTTGTTTCATTTGCATTAATTGATTTTCTTTCCTGTTTTCCTAGATTATAAGTTAATGATTTTATGTATCTTTAGGTTATAAGTATTTGGTAAGTTTTTTTTTTTTTTATATTTTAGTATTCAAAATACTACTACAGTTGTGTTTTTTTTTTTGTTTTTTGTTGTTTTCTTTTTGTCAATTTCATTTTTCTTTTTTTTTTTTTTTATACGTAATGTAAGCATTTTATTGTAAATTCTGGTTATTGCTCCCTTTTTGAGAGTTTATGGAAGTTTCTGTAAAATGGCAGGGGAATTAAGGACCAGAGTAACAGCTGTTAGGTAAAATCAGCTGTTAGATGTAAATATGTTAAGGAGTAAAGGGGACCCTACATGGCCATTCGGAATTGTATTCCGAGGCACTAATGATGTTCCGAATTATCGTGTAAGGTAGTGAATGAAGTACTGATGGAGGAGTCTGGCTGATTTCCGAACATCTGGGAATTAAAGGTTCATTCACGAGAAGTGGAGGGAGGAATTGTGGTGAAAGTAGTGTGGAGACTAACCATACTACTGGATAGGTTGGTTTACATGGGCCTCAAAACCATTATAAATTCTTGATTTTCATTAAAAGTAAATAGTTAAATAGTTTTTCATATCCCTTGTTTATATTTTATAAACCATCTTCAACTATTTCTCTTAAATAGTCAAGTGGGCAACAAATTAAAAAAAAAAAAGTGGAATTTCACAATTTACTTAAAGAAAAAAAATTAATCTTTAACTGTTATGTGTATTTGTCAGTTCTTTTCCTATTTTCCTTAACAAATTTATTATTTTCCCAATATGTTTCCTTAATTTTTGTAAGTAGTAGACTTATATTTTTACCAACTTTTGCCAAAACGGTTTTCTATGAGATTAACCTTACTACTAGATAGGTTAGTTTACCTAGGCCTCATTTTTAATTAAAGAATTTCATAAAAGTAAATAGTTTTTTATATCCCTAGTTTATATTTTTATAAACCATTTTCAACTATTATTTCTTCAAATAGTCAAGTGGGCAATAAATTGAAGGAAAAAAAAAGTGGAAACTTCACAATTTTCTCATAGAAAAAAATCTTTAACTGTTGTGTTTATTTGTCATCAATTTTTCCATTTTTCTTAACAAATTGATTATTTTAGCAATACTTTTCCTAAAATTTTGTAAGTAGTTGACTTATATTTTTCTAACTTTAGTCTAAACAATTTTCAGGCACTAGGAAGTAATTATTATATCTCTATTTTTCTCTTGATGTCCAATACTATATAGGACAATGTCCAAATAAGCTTATCCATGCTGTTTCTTTGTTTACAACTGAGCTAAATTGGCGTCAGCAATGATAAGTAATGATCAGTAATGATTAAACGTGTAAGGGTCTTTATGATCAAAGCTATCCCGAGCAATCTTGGCCATTCTTGTGACGTTCATTCACGAATGATCGTATAAGGGTCGCTTAAGGACAGGAATAAATCAAGTCTTTATACTACAGTCTTGCATGTTCTTTCAGCTCTCCCTCTCTTTATTTCTATTCTTTGACTTGAACTTCAGTTTTATATATATATATATATAACATTTCCAAATCAAATTCAACCTTTTCCAAATCAAATTGAACTTTTGCCAAGTCAAATCCAAAATGACATTTGAAATAGAATGGTAGTCAAAATTTTTCCTATTTTCAATGCCTTAATTGGAAAATTGATATCTAAAACACGACTTTTTAAAATATTTCTTGCCACAAATTCAATTAAATATATATATTGATTTCCAAGTAATCAGAGCACTGTAACAACTATTTCAGCATCAATGTTGATATATTTCACCAGTAAATAAAGGATTATTAATTTAAATATTCAGATTCTTTTAGTAATTAAATTCTTTATGTTTACTTGAAATTATTTTTGTGTTTTGTAAATAATGTCAGAATTATAGGCACAACTATTAATTTATAGGATTTTTATATTTTGTAGATATCAAGTACTAATGCGGCTACAGAAGCTGGGATGGAATCAGTTAAAAGAGCTTATAATGCTGCTGAAGATATTAAAAACCAATTTGAAAATGTTGTTATTAAGCTTTCAGAAATGAATAAGAACTTTGATTCATTTATTAAAGCTCAAGGAGCATCTCCTTCTGAAATACGTCATGTTGCTAATGAAGTGAGTTTTTAAAATACTAGAAAAAACATTCATAATAAATTGAAACCATTATTGTCATAGATAAATATTCCATTTAATAAACCTTATGCCATTAATAAAAGAATAGGAATTGTCATTTCAATATGAGTAATTTTTGCTGAATGTAAAAATTCTATAAATTTTACCTCTCTAATATCTCTGTAACCATTGATGTTAGCAAAAAAAAATTATAGAATTATTTTTTTTAGATATTTTGAAATACTTTGGTTTTGTTTAGGTCTAGTTCTGCCATAAATACTGTTACAAAAGTTGAAGTTTGTTTACATCCTTGGGTATTATTTAGATAATCCTTATCTCTATCAGGTTATTTTCTTTGTATTTATCCCAATTACTTTGTATTTTTCTTTTGTTCAGTTAATGTGGAGTGGGGCCATAAATAAAACTAAATAGCTGTGATCACCTTACACAAAGTTGGAAAATGTAGGTCAGAGATTTTCAACACTTTGAAACTTTTGGGTATCAACCGTATGTTAGTGTACGGCACTATAAGTAGATATAATAAGACCATATCTGTATGTGACAGACCTCGAACGGGTCCCCGCACTATGACAAAAGTAAATGCAGTGAGAGCAGTGGCTGGTCGAATCAGAAAAAATCTCATTCGAAAACATAAATCATGTCTCAAGAAATGCAAATTTCTGTCAGATCAATGTCTCCCATAATAAAAAGTGACCTTGGAATGGGTTCATTACGAAAAGTGACAGGAAAAAGGCTAACCACTTCCCTAAAAAAAAAATAGAGTGGATAGATGCAAAGTGGTCCTTGGCCGTTATACCAATGGTCTTCATCGAAAGATTTTGCTTAGCGATGAGAAATTTTTTACAACTGAAGAAAAATTTAATCGCCAAAATGATCGTGTGTACACACACAGTTCTAAAGAAGTCCAGGAAGTCATTGGAAGAGCGGTAAGAGATAATCATCCTTCCTCAGTGATGGTTTGGTAGGGAGTTTGCTTTTGATGGCACCACAAAACTCCATTTTTGGGAAAAAGGAATTAAAACAGCCATTAAAATCTATTAGAACAATATTTTTAAACCTGTTGTCAAGCCTCTAAATGACACTCTGTTTCCTGGAAGTTGTTGTATTTTCCAGCAATGGCTGCAAAAGGACATTCCAGAGTTCATCTCAGCCTCGGATTGGCCCTCAAGAAGTCCTGATCTTAACCCGCTAAATAATCAGTTTTAGTGCGAACTGAGAATGGCATGCCACGGAGCACACCCTAACTTGGAAAGCCTCAAACAATCTCTGGGCTGAGCAGTTGAGCGCTTTACTCAAGAAGTGCTGCATGCTGCTATTGATGACTGGCCATGGAGATTAATGCCTGTGTCAAAGCAAAAGGAGAACATCCTTTTTTTGTTTTACTCTCTGTAGATATACATTTTATTTTCTAATGTTTTTGAAAAAATTAATTTTTCTGTTGAAATTTGTATATATTTCCTTGTAACAATACTTATGACAGGACTAGGTATATGCTATAAACATCTTAGTTTTTGAGATATTCACAAGTACACAGGGTGTTTCAGGATTAAGTTGCCAAACTGAAAATATGAATTAAGGACCTCAAAACAAGAAAAAAAAATTCCTATGAAGGTATGTCCGCAAACACTTTGTTTAGGAGATATTCGCACCTAAATATTTTCATTGTTATGAATTATTTACATTATATTAAGTTAATAAAACTTATTTATTTGTTCCAACTACTTTATTAATTAAACATAAACATTAAATTTGTATTAAATGTTGTTCAAATTGATTTCCTTGAGTATTATTAAGACAGGCTCTAAATCTTTCTCCAACAGCAGCAATGGCAGAACGGCACTAGATATGTGTTATTGTTTCACAAGATTCAATTAACCTTCTTCATAAGGAATTAAGATGATTGACCGGACTTGCATAGACTTTTTGTTTAATGTCACCCCAAATAAAAAAAAAACAGTTGTGTCCGGTCTGGAGAGCGTGTAGGTCAAGCCACTGGTCCTGCACGGCCAATCCATTGATTGGGATAATTAACATTTAGCAATTGTTGTGGACCTCTTTTGTAATGTGCAGGACAACCATCTAATTGAAGCCACACGTCCCTTCTCAGTTGTAGTGGAATATGTTCAACTAAATTATAGTAATCATTAAGAAATTCCAAAAATGTGCCCGCATAGAGTCGAGACGTCACGAAATGCAGCCCTATTAAAATATTGTCTATTATTCCCAACCACATGCACTGAAACCGGTGATGAAAATTATGCTTATGAATTGCATGAGGATTTTCCTGCGACCAGAGATGGTAATTTTTCTGATTAAAGATACCTATTCTTGTAAAGGTAACTTCATCTGTCCAGAGAATTTTTCCTGAAAATTGTGGATTATGCTCAACTTGATTTAAGTACGAATCTGAAAAATTTCTTCTTTGCCAAAAATTTTGCGGTAATAAATTTTATACCCATTGATAATGATATGGGTGATGTCCATCTGCAATGAGAGTTCTCCATACTATAGTTGGCATAATATTTAATTCTGCTCCAGCTCTTCATACACTGCCAGATGGATTATCATCAAAATATTGTAATATGGTCACACTCCTTTCTTCATTTCGTAAAGGGACAAAAATACCATCAGCACGTGGTATTATAGCAAATGTACAATTTTCTCTGACATTGAAGTGTGAAGCTAAAGATAGACTTATTTGGTAATTTTCTATTTATAAATCGCCTGGCGTATTCATGATGGACAGCATTAGCATTACCATCAAAAACCGTATACAAACACCATTTTGGGATATTCACCATCAGTATAAATGGAAGGTGTAATGATGAGTACTCTGAAAAAGTCTCTTACTAAAGAATTGTTACCAATAATTTTTATACAGTTAGGGATAAAAGGCCATATTAGTATTCTATCTAATCCATCTCCTAAACAAAGTGTTTACGGGCATACCTTCACTTTGAAAAACATTTATTTAATATGAATGTTAATGTTTACATTTAATTATTAAAGTAGTTAGAACAAATAAATAGGTTTTGTTTATTTCATATAACGTAAATTATTCATAACAACAAAAATCTTTAGGTGTGAATATCTCCTAAACAAAGCGTTTGCGAATATATCTTCAGAGGAAATTTTTTTCTTGTTTTGAGGTCCGTAGTTCATTTTTGCAGTTTGGCCACTTTACCCTGAAACACTCTGTATAGAAAAAAGTACAAAAAAATAAAATAAATCATTTTTTTTTTTCTTCTTTCCCTCCCCCTATCAAAGCTTAGTTATTATAGGGAATGCAACAAACAAGTTATGACAAGTTTCAGCATTTTTTACTTTCACTTACCTATATATGTAATATATAGTGAGGGTAAGTATTAGGATTGTGAAAATTTTTTAATCTTGAGTTTTCAGCAATACATGTTTTCAGGTCTCCTGAGTCCAAATAACCAAGTCCCGCAAAAAGGTCTGTGTGTGTGTGTGTGTGTGTGTGTGTGTGTGTGTGTGTGTGTGTGTGTGTGTGTGTGTGTGTGTTAACAGTCTAGCTCAAAAACGAAAAATTGTATGGAAGTGAAATTGTATATTTAAGGTTTTTTATGCTAGGGATGTTACAGCAACTTTTTTGTCAAAATCGGCTAACTGGAAGTGGCACTTTATGTAATGGACTTAACACATTTTTACGATTATCTCGAAAACCGCTCTAATGATTTTTATTAAATTCATCATATTAGTGTAAAATTAAGCAGTTTTAAATAAAATATAGTTTTTCCGATTGATGTGCTCTAACAGGGCTTAAATTGCTAATGTTCATTATTGGCTTCCTCTAAAGTACCTTTAATTTTTTTTATTTGAAACAATTGACCATTTCACATTAATTTCTAACATAAAAAATGGTTAAATATAAAAGAATTTGATATATAACTAAAGGAGAAATAAGAGATCGTAACGGAGAATAGTTGTAATTGAGGAACCAAAGGAATACAAGCCCACCCAAGCTTAGAACACGCCTCCATACGTATTATGAGATTAATATAGTACGAGCTCCGACAATATTATATAAACATATATAATCGGTTTTTATAAATACTATTGTTAGTATTATTTCATATCTAATTGTATAGATTATAGCGATATAAATATTAAAATTTATATATATGAGGGTACTTATACAAATAAAAATACCCACAATGAAATATAAATGAATATAGAGTCTATAATTTTTACTTTCATTTCGCTTTGTCTGAAAATACTTATTTCAGCTATGAGGGTGGTAAGTGAAAGTTATGTGATGCACGCACCGCACCCGATTTTTTTATGTTCACATTTCGAGTTGGTAGTTTTACTGCTCTATTTTTATTTATTTTTTATATCTTAATTTTTGAATCCTGAAATTTAATATTTTTCAACTTAGATATTCATGATGATAAATATAAAAAGTAATTATTCTTATCATACGTTTCTCAAATATGTTTAATATTTCTATTAAATTTAAATTTTTATGGTGCTATTTTTTATTTATTTTTTTAAGTTTTTAAGATAATATCATTATTAAAATATGTTGGTACCACACATCCATATTTGTTTTACTTATACTAAATGTGTTACAGTAACACAATTTATCTATATAATTATGGTTAAAATTATTTTATAATATCATTGCTCATGTATTTTTCTCCAGGCTTTAAATTTAAATATTCAATTGAAACCACAACAAATCAAGGAATTAGCTGATAAGATCAATGAAACAATTGGGTCTCTTCCTAATATCAATTCAATTCTTGAGGACACTAAACAAAATCAAACTCTGGCAAATAATTTGAAAATAAAAGCTGATGAGGCTAAGTAAGCAAACATTTTTGTAATGCTAAACTTTATGTAGAAAATGTGTTTAAGAATTTTTGCATGCTCTCAAATAATATATTTAGGATACTTATAGCTTTACTTCCTTCTATATTGAGCCAAAGTTTTAGTCAGAGGTTTGAAATTATAAAGAAACTATATATATATATAAAGTTAAGATTCGTAAATGTAATGCTATTAGTCATAATACCATTTCATGGTCGAATCTAACAGACTTAAATAATTACACCACATGTTTTGATTTAATTTTACTGTTCATTATTATCTTTGTCGTGTTCAAATAAAGTAAATTTATTTCTTGCATTCATTGAATATTTATCCAAGTGGCAACTTGCAATAGTTTTAACCCCCTGACACTTAACTGGTGCTGCAAACCGGGAGGACGAGTGATTTGGAGATCGTCAGCATATAAATGATATTGTGAATGATGGATAGAATCAGGAAGGTTGTTGATACAGATAGAGAAAAGAGTTGGAGAGAGCAAAGATCCCTGATGAACACCGCAAGTTAGTAAGAGGGGGCAGGAAGGAGTTTTATTAGGTATGATAACTGTTTGGAATCTTTGATACCAGAAGGAATGAACCACTTTAGAGCACGATTTGATGTGGAAAGGGTTTGGAGTTTGGAAAGGAGGATTTTGTGATTGACTGAATCGAATGCTTTTGAAAAATCAAAGAGGACCAGGATAGAGATTTTCTGTTTGTCTATGGAGAAATGAAGGTCTTAAGTAATTTTCAACAAAGCAGACTGGGTGGAGAACTGGGATCAGAAACCAGACTGGAGGGAATTGAGGAGAGCTTTTTGTTCTAGGAAGATTAAGCTGTGTATGGAAAATTCTTTCAAGAAATTTTTAAATCAAGAAAGGTTGGAGAGAATTGGAGATGGGTCTGAAATCGGAAACTTTGTTCAACGGGCGAACAATAACTTTTTTCCAAGCTGATGGGAAACTGGAATTTTGTAGATTAATAAATTGTAAATATGAAGTAGGATAGGAAAGATGACAGGGAGGCATAGTTTGATTAACTTTACGTAAATTAGATCTGGGCCATTTGTTCTGGATTTTAGAACAGAGGAAATTAGGTCTTCTGGTGAAACAATTGCAAAATAGAAATTTTCAGGGTCAAAGGAAGTTTTTGGAATGCAGTATGAGGAAAGTAGCAACATGTGCGTCTAAAACGCCTCCTTGCAGCGTCTCTTCTCATCAATTCTCTTATTTCTGGATCAATCCAGGAAGCAGGAGGGCGTTTGAAGGTTGAGGTCTTTAAGGGTGCGTGTTGATTTAGGAATAGAAGAAGATTAGAGGAAAGATACTCCACCATTTCATAAATGGAGGAATAGAAATAGATGGGATTTAAGGATTGGGCTAGAGTTTCGAGGAAAGGATTAAGTTTTTCAGAGGTCAATGAGCCAAGATCCCGCCATGTAATTGCCCTGAGAGTGAACTCAAGAGTCGGGACATTATAGGAAATCTTGATGAAGTCATGATATAAAAGGAAAGAGATGGGGGATTCTGGGAGGACAGTAAGCTTTGAGAGGAATCAATTAAAAAAAGATCAAGCCATGTACTTGAGAAAAAATATCCAAATATTTAAGTATAATAAAAGTGCAATGTCTTTTGGAATGATCTTAGAAAAGATTTCTAAAAGAACCCTCGATGAAAAGGTTTATAACAAAAGAAGAGTGGGAAGACCTTGGCTCCTCAATTCCTACTAGGTTCCATTAATTTTTTTGTAAAGGTATTTTTTTTCATGAATCATACATAAATTAAAATGCTTTAAAACATTTCATTTTGATTTCATAAATATTTATTTATTTTTATTTTTTTATTTTATAATTTTTTTTTTTTTTTGTCCCTCCCCTGCCTCGCCATTAAGGCTGTACAGGGTTTTCCCGGGCCAGGGAGTGTGGGCGGGTGTTTAAAAGACTCCCTCGGCACCGGGACGCCAACTAGTGACTATTTTTATATCATTACATTCATATGTCAGGTTGCCGGGCAACGGCGGTGCTGTGCACACGCTTTAGCCCATTCGGCCACCCCGCCCACAAATATTTATTTACTATCACCTTCAATATAGAGCCCTCCTCAATTCCTCCAATGTAGGTTGGAACATTGTAGGAATTGGGGAGGGCTGTACTACGTCCCTCAGTATTTCTACCATCAATTTTGCAACGGATGAACGTACTATCTAATCCGATACGCTCAGAACGCTATAATATCTTTATTTTCTCCATGATTGAAGCGTTCCCAACGTTGAGGTGGTGTATTTTCTCCGGTTTAGACATGTCCTGTAGTGCTTTACAAATCATGTCTTCCCTCGCTCCCGGCTGCGACCAAATGGTTGTGATCTTGCTTTTGCCAACTTTGTTGCATCATACCCAAGGTACTGGTTTTCCAAATTATCTGTCACTGCTTGTCATTGATAATTTCCTCGAGCTCTTCCATTTCTGTTGGCCTCTCCTCAGCTGGAATCTCCTCTTCTTGGGATTCTAATTCGTCATTAGGTTTCTCCACACCTTGTTCTCCCTCCCTTTCTAATGTCCATTCTTTCAAGAATTTTCTCACATCCATAGAAGATTCCTCTCTGTCCTCTTCTATGGCATTTTCCATAATAGCCCTTGACAACCAATCTGCTACCACGTTCTTCTTCCCCGGCTTGTATACTATGTCCATGTTATATTGATTCAAGAACTCCTTCCTGCGTGTGACTCAAGCCGAGGATTCTTTTAGCTTACCTACCCGGTGTAGAGGTCTGTGGTCAGTGTGAACATGAAACTTTCTCCCAAAGACATAGGGTGTAAAGTGATTGATAGCCCACACGATCCCTAACAGTTCTCTTTAAGCACCTGATTAATTCCATTCCATTTTATCCCCTACTCTACCTCAATGGGCTACCTATCCATTTCCACACTTTCGTTAGAAACCTTGGGGTAATATTCGATCAATATCTGTCCTGGAATAATCATATTTCCCAAATAATCTGAAAATCCATTGTTACTCTCAAACAGTTCCTAAGATTCCATGATTCGATGCCCCTTAAAATCCGTCAGCTCCTAGTTTCCTCACTCATTTTCCTTCATTTCGATTATTGCTTCCTTGTGTACGGTTGACTGTCTAGTGGGATTGAGATCACATTAAAGAGACCTATGAATTGTTTCATTACATTGTACATTGTTGTTATTCTACGGAGACTTACTGTCCCAGAATGAAGTTTACTTTCTTCTTCTTATTCTGAGTCTTGATTGCTTCATTAATGCTCTTGTGTCGTGGTCTCATTTTCTCCTTAAATATCAAAATTGTGTCAACTTCAATCATATTTTTATATTCCAGCTTAATTAGTTTTATTCTGACTGAAGAAAAGTATTGGTCTCGGTAATTCCGAACAAACAAAAAATTGAATTTTTCCTATCGATTTTTTGTTCCATCCATTTTACGAGTGAAAACATACCTATTAAAACATGCATCTGCTATAAAACTTTATAATAAATATTATATTTTACCTCCATATTGATAGTATTTCAAACTTTTACCTCTGCTCACTTTTCCATTTTTACTTATTTAATGATAATGTAAAGGTTTTAATTTTTATGATTACAGGTCTTCAGCAGAGCAAGTTCTTGAAAAAGCCCAAAGAGTGATTAGTGCCCTTAAAGCAGCGAAAGAAGCTCAGGAAGAAGCTGAACAAGCAATTAACACTGCCCATGAAGATATAACTGCAGCAAAAAAAGATTTAAAACAGGTATTCATCTACTGATATTCAGATTTGAATAGGGTTCAGTGGAGATAGGTATGTAGGCAACAATTTTTGGTGATATTGGCTTTGAACTTAAAATTAATATGAGTGAGCATCCTGAAAAAACATTTTTCAAATTTTTTTTTCAAATAAAAATAAAATCCAGCAAAACTTTGATGACCTAGGAATAACATATTTCAGTCTAGGGCTTTGGTATCTTCTTTTTTATTGATGGTAATAATAAAACTGTCATTAGTTTTTCGTGATATCAGATGCCCATTGTCAGGACTCATTTTTTCATTATGTATATTCTGTCATTGCTGTTCCAGCCTAAATACTGTGTGGAAAAATTCTGTTTAAACCTTTGTAAGCAATTGTAGCAGGTGTTAGCTAAGTTTTTCTGTTCTAGGTCTTTTCCTTGCTATGTTGCTATAGAGTTTGACTAAAGTTTTTTTTCTTTCATTGATTTTAAGCAGATACAGATATCCTTAAGACCGATACATAGGCCTTACAACCCTATTTTATCATAATTCATAGTTTCCAGTGGAATAATATTTATATTGCTAATAAATGTGTCAATCAGTCGCCAAGTCGACAAAAACATAGATTTAAGCAGATACCAATATCATAAAAACCTATATATCTCCTGATAACTTCTTTATATCGAGATTGAAAAAGTTTTACCATTTTTGTTATTTTTTATTATTCTTATTTTGTTCTCTTCCCCTCATTTAAGCATATAGCAATATTCCAAATACTGATTTATCGGTCTTATGACCTTATTTTATCAAGATTGGAAGAGTTTGGACAATTTTATTATTATTATTATTATTATACATACTTTCGTTGGTCCTCCTCTTCCTCTAATTTGAGACACCAAAATCCCGGTGGCTCAATGACCTTAACTGATATATCGGCCTTACGAACTTTTATATTTTGGGTAGTAATAAAAATAATATTTTAAATGAAATTGTTTGTATGTTGATAAAACATGGTTGTGAGGCTGATATCGGTCATTGGAATATTGGCATCTGTCCAAATTCGGGAAAGAGAAGTGCCAGAAAAAAAAGATTAAACAAAAATGTTTCCAACTCAATCGATGACATAAATAAGATATTAAACTTCATGAATGTTAATAAAATAAGGTCGTAAGGACGATATTTGGGTCTTTAGAATATTGATTTATGCTCAAATTTTAGGGAGGATAAAAAAAAAAATATTGGTTTTTAGAATATTGGTATTGGATGAAATGTATACATAGATTGAGCTCTTGATGATTGAATGATACTTTCTTTCAGAAATTACGATAATTTTCTATGGGACATTGTAAAGAACCAGATATATAGGAATGAAAGGCCGATATGCTAAAATACAAGTTTCTCACTTTTATTGGTCAAAATCTGGCAACCTGATACATGAGATTTGATTAAAAAAAATAGTCACGACTTCGCGTCCTGGTGCCCGGAGGAGTTTTTAAATCACCGCCCACACTCCCTGGCCCGGGAAAACCCCCGTATAGCCTTAAAGGCGAGGAAGGGGAGGAAAGAAAAAAGAAAAAAAAAATTCTTTTATTTAGCAATAAGTATTCTGTTATCTCCACATTAAGTACTGACAATACCTCCTGGGACACATTGTAAATATATTACATCGAAAAAGGGATCACTTGCAGGGATCATAGACAAGATGTTATTCATTCCAAATTACCCATCCAATCAATTAAAACTGGATCAGATATAAGCCGGTGAAACTTGTGAGATGAAAATATGTCAATAATTCCTCACAACTGATGTTATGCTGTTATAATGGGAAAATATTCTGATGAATATAGAATTAGTCATCTATTTGGATTATCAACAAATTTATGTAAATAGTGTGGAAAAGCATTTCAAGTAATCTGATACAAAAAACTCTTGATTAGATGAGATATTATAGCATTTCCAAGTCAATTTCAACCTTTTCCAAGTCAAATTCAACCATACACTATACCTATTTTTTTATATATAAGTAAGTGTATTTATATGTTTTATATGCCTGTGTGTGTTTTCAGATTAAAAGTGAAACAGAAGAAGCCAATTCAAAGACTTTTAATATAGACCAAATACTTAATGGTACATCAAAAGATTTGACTACTCTTCAAGTAGAGGTTCTTAAACATGAAACAGGTGCAAAACAAGTCTCAGTGGAAGCCGAAAAGGTTTCTAAGGAGGTACTATTTATATATAATATATTATTACTATTATGTGTATATGTATGTATGTATATATATATATATATATATATATATATTTAATTTATATAATTTTATTATTATTATTATTAATTTGGTTTTTATTGATTGACATTTAGGTTCAAAATTCAAAAGCTAAAGTCCTAGATTTAAATCTGCAATACAGTTCTGTAAATAATACAGTTCAAAAGAGATCTGAAAATTCAAGGAACTCCAAAATGAAAGCTCAACTGCTGTTGAAAAGAGCAACACAGCTTTCGTTCAGCACTTCAGCTAAATTAAAGGAATTAAAAGGTAATGATACCAATAATTCTAAGTATTTTAATAAGTATTGTACAGTTTCTTCACCTTTGATCTTAATTTCCTTAATTTTAACTGTGGGTAGTTGCTCGTTTCATTTACAAGAATTCTTCTTCTTTATCTTCCTCTTCGTGCCATTACTAGCGTCGAGGAGCCTCAATCCAATGCAGCCATGCCTCTCGGGTCCCTACCAAGCCGCCTCATTTCCTGGAGGGTTTTGCCTCTCTTCTCTCCAATCCGCTGCATATACTCCTGATAGGAAATTCTGTGGCGGCCCTCGGCCTCCTTCCAGTGGGTCGAGCTTCCAGAATCTTCCGCGGATCTCTCTCCTCCTCCATCCGACAAACGTGGCCAAACTACTTCAACTGTCGGTTTTCCAGTAAAGTCCTTAGCTCCACCACCTCCAGGTCCTCTCTTATGCGTTCATTTCTGAGGCGGTCTCTCCTGGTCTTTCCAGCAGCTCTCCGCAGAAACTTCATCTCGGCTGCTGTCACACGGCTAACCTGCTTGTCCAGCATAATCCAGCTTTCGCTTCCATACGTGAGGGTTGGGAGGTATACCGACTTGTATATGTGCCTTTTTCTTTCCTTGCCAACTTCCCTGTGCCCTACTATAGTGTTGCTGATAGGGTAATATACCTGATTGGCTTTGGATATCCTATTCGCTACTTCTGGGTCAATCTTCCCCTTGTTGCTGATAATTGTACCCAAATAGGTAAATTCTTGCACAACTTCAAGCACCTGCCCGTTATAGATCAGCTGGACGTCTTCTTGTTCCTCTCTTGATATGACTAGGACTTTGCTTTTGGAGCTATTGATAATCATACCTTTACGGAGGAGTTCTTCCTGCCATTCTACAAAGGCCTGCTGCAGCTTGTCTTTCGTGTCCGCTATCAGAACAATGTCATCGGCATATAGTAGGCTTTGGACCATAATATTCCGCAGATTCCATTTTCCGACGACCGTCCAAGCAGTACGACGCTTACAAATTTTATGGATTTCATCCATAAATATGATGAACAAGAGGGAACTTAGGCTGTCTCCCTGCCTGACTCCTCTCTCCATGGGAAAAGGCTTGGACTCTCTACCATTAATCCTTACCATTCCTTTTGCTGCCTTATATGCTGATCTAATTGCCATGATAAGATCACCTGGAACATTTTTTGCCGCCAAAGCATCCCATATTTCTTGTCTTGGAACAGAGTCAAATGCTGCTTTGAGATCCAAAAATTCATTTACACGAATAACATATTTTATTTGACAACTTCACAGTTACTAACAATGCTTTGGTTAATAGTTTTTCAATTTCATCAATAAAATTCTATTTTTTATTAATGATTCAACCAACTTTGCTTGAATAAGTATTGATATTTTTTAGGTTTTATTATATAGCATTTCCAAGTCAATTTCAACCTTTTCCAAATCAAATTCAACCTTTTCCAAGTCAAATTAAACCTTTTCCATTTCAAATTCAACCTTTTCCAAGTCAAATTCAACCTTTTCCATTTCAAATTCAACTTTCGAATTTTTGTCAATTTTCGATTTTTTTCAAAATGAAGGCCACTTACTATATTAACGAAGGTATAGCTTTTGAAAAATACAAAAAAAATTTTGATAACGCGGTTGCATATCCATTTATTTTAACATTTTAGATTTTTTCAGTGTGATATTTCTTTGTCATTTCCAAGTCAAATTCAACCTTTTCCAAGTCAAATTCAACCTTTTCCAGATCAAATTAAACTTTTTCCAAGTCAAATTCAACCATTTCCATTTCAAATTAAACCTTTTCCAATTCAAATTCAACCGTTTTCATTTCAAATTAATGTTTTGATTTTTTGTAAATCTTATATATTTTTTTTTAAATAATGGCCATCCCCTCCCCCCCTCCAATATGAAAGTCTATTATTATGCTCTTCTAAGTAGAATTTTCACTTACGGATATCGATTTATTGTACCTATTCGGATTTATTAGGGACTAGTATTATGCTGTCCTGTACCTAGTTTTGAAAATAACCCCCATTTTAAGATTAACTGACTGCGTTTCGAATCATTTAAGTTTTTTTGACTTATTCGATATAAGGATGTATTTTTATGTTTCCCGATCAGTAAATTTTGAAAATGACATCCATTTTATGTTTACACCACTGTGCTTTGACTTATTTAAGTTTTTAAAATTTATTAAATATAAAGGTCTACTTTTATGTTTCTGGAGCCGTTGATTTTGAAAATGACCTCCATTTTAAGATTAGGCCACCGCGTTTCGACTTATTTGAGTTTTTCGGATATTTTTCATATGAGGGTGTATTTTTATGTTTCCGGAGCTGTAGATTTTGAAAATTACCTCCATTTTAAGATTAGGCCACCGCGTTTCGACTTATTTGAGTTTTTAAAATTTATTAAATATAAAGGTCTACTTTTATGTTTCTGGAGCCGTAGATTTTGAAAACGACCTCCATTTTAAGATGAGGCCACCGCGTTTTGACTTATTTGAGTTTTTCGGATATTTTTCATATGAGGGTGTATTTTTATGTTTCCGGAGCTGTAGATTTTGAAAATGACCTCCATTTTAAGATTAGGCCACCGCATTTCGACTAATTTGAGCTTTTCGGATATTTTTCATATGAGGGTGTATTTTTATGTTTCCGGAGCTGTAGATTTTGAAAATGACCTCCATTTTAAGATTAGGCCACCGCATTTCGACTAATTTGAGCTTTTCGGATATTTTTCATATGAGGGTGTATTTTTATGTTTCCGGAGCTGTAGATTTTGAAAATGACCTCCATTTTAAGATTACGCCACTGCGTTTCGGCTTATTCAAGTTTTTCGCATTTATCCAATTTAAAGGTCTACTTTTATGATGCCGGAGCCTTAGTTTTTAAAACTACTTACACTTTAAGATTAGGCCACTGTGTTTCGGTTTTTTTTAAGTGTTTTTGATTTTTCCTTCGAATAAAAAACAAAATACGAAGGATTAATTTATTTTTCAATAAATAAATAAAAATATCTAATCAAAATAAATAAAATATGTATTGTCTTATTTTTAATTTAATTTTAGTTATCTTTTTTAATGTTGTGGTCTCCTTTCACAAAATTATAAGATTTCGAACAATTAGCTGAAAAATCTGAATACGAAAGGTTAAATTTATTACCAGCTGCTTTTCGGCTTTTTAGTTTGTATTCTGTGGTTAATTTAACTTTAGCTTCATAATATTTATTTATTTATTCATACTCGAAAACATATTGATGAAACTTTGTATTGTAAAAATCCAAAATGAAGCCTAATTATTCGAGATGCAGCGGCTTAATCATAAAATGGAGCTTAAATATTAGATAAATTTAAATATTAAAGATTAGACAAATTTCAATGCATAACAGACGATACGATTCATACGATAACAGACCCACACTTCGAAAAATTAAAGATAATTAAATAAATAAAAAATGGTTGAATTTGAAATGGAAAAGGTTTAATTTGAAATGGAAAAGGTTGAATTTGACTTCGAAAAAGTTTAATTTGACTTGGAAAAGGTTGAATTTGACTTGGAAAAGGTTGAAATTGACTTGGAAATGCTATAATATCTCATCTAATCAAGAGTTTTTTGTATCAGATTACTTGAAATGCTTTTCCACACTATTTACATAAATTTGTTGATAATCCAAATAGATGACTAATTCTATATTCATCAGAATATTTTCCCATTATAACAGCATAACATCAGTTGTGAGGAATTATTGACATATTTTCATCTCACAAGTTTCACCGGCTTATATCTGATCCAGTTTTAATTGATTGGATGGGTAATTTGGAATGAATAACATCTTGTCTATGATCCCTGCAAGTGATCCCTTTTTCGATGTAATATATTTACAATGTGTCCCAGGAGGTATTGTCAGTACTTAATGTGGAGATAACAGAATACTTATTGCTAAATAAAAGAATTTTTTTTTTCTTTTTTCTTTCCTCCCCTTCCTCGCCTTTAAGGCTATACGGGGGTTTTCCCGGGCCAGGGAGTGTGGGCGGTGATTTAAAAACTCCTCCGGGCACCAGGACGCGAAGTCGTGACTATTTTTTTTAATCAAATCTCATGTATCAGGTTGCCAGATTTTGACCAATAAAAGTGAGAAACTTGTATTTTAGCATATCGGCCTTTCATTCCTATATATCTGGTTCTTTACAATGTCCCATAGAAAATTATCGTAATTTCTGAAAGAAAGTATCATTCAATCATCAAGAGCTCAATCTATGTATACATTTCATCCAATACCAATATTCTAAAAACCAATATTTTTTTTTTTATCCTCCCTAAAATTTGAGCATAAATCAATATTCTAAAGACCCAAATATCGTCCTTACGACCTTATTTTATTAACATTCATGAAGTTTAATATCTTATTTATGTCATCGATTGAGTTGGAAACATTTTTGTTTAATCTTTTTTTTCTGGCACTTCTCTTTCCCGAATTTGGACAGATGCCAATATTCCAATGACCGATATCAGCCTCACAACCATGTTTTATCAACATACAAACAATTTCATTTAAAATATTATTTTTATTACTACCCAAAATATAAAAGTTCGTAAGGCCGATATATCAGTTAAGGTCATTGAGCCACCGGGATTTTGGTGTCTCAAATTAGAGGAAGAGGAGGACCAACGAAAGTATGTATAATAATAATAATAATAATAAAATTGTCCAAACTCTTCCAATCTTGATAAAATAAGGTCATAAGACCGATAAATCAGTATTTGGAATATTGCTATATGCTTAAATGAGGGGAAGAGAACAAAATAAGAATAATAAAAAATAACAAAAATGGTAAAACTTTTTCAATCTCGATATAAAGAAGTTATCAGGAGATATATAGGTTTTTATGATATTGGTATCTGCTTAAATCTATGTTTTTGTCGACTTGGCGACTGATTGACACATTTATTAGCAATATAAATATTATTCCACTGGAAACTATGAATTATGATAAAATAGGGTTGTAAGGCCTATGTATCGGTCTTAAGGATATCTGTATCTGCTTAAAATCAATGAAAGAAAAAAAACTTTAGTCAAACTCTACTTAATCTTAATAAGATGAGGTAATAAGGCTGATATATCTGTCATTGATCAAATTTATGTTTATGTTGATCCTTCAACAAATATTTATTTATTAGCAACCAAAAATAACACATTTATCAGCAATAAAAATAATATTCATTGTGAAAGAGGCTGATATACCTGTTTAAGGGGATGACCGGAAAATTGGGTAGTGGTCCCCAAAAAAATTAAATAAATAAAAAAGAAGAAATCAGATCCTACCAATCTTGATAAAATAAGGTCTTTAATTCGATATATTGCTCTTTGAAATATCGGTATCTGCTGTAAATCTGAGGAGAGGATGAGAAAAAGAAAAAAAAAAAAACTGATATATCAGTATATCGGCATTTGATATAGGCCGATACCGTGAATTGGCCAGAAGGCCGATATGCCAATATAAATATCAGTATTATTCAATCTCTAGTCAGGACCCACATAGGTGACAATTGTCTCATGATTGTTTTATAAACAAGTAGCTTTGCTTTTATATCATATTCCGTAAACCTAATAAACTTGGCTCTTATTATCCTATTCAAGACTGACTCCTTTTTTAACATGCTCACCTTTAGGGACCCCTGAATAAATAATAGAGTGTCCCTTATTCAAGCACACTTCTCCAATTCCTTTCCTTTTTACTTCTGTTATACCAAGAATGTTTATCCTGTACTTTATGATCTCTCCCACGAGCGGAAGTTTTTTGAAAAAGAAAAACCTTAATCATTGTCCATCATAGTGCAAAAATGTGATCTTAGATCTGCCTACTTCGCCTAAAAGCATATTGTGAAATTTTATACTAATTATAAATAAGAATTGGCAAAATGATCTGATGACAATGTAAACATAGTTATATTGAACTTCAGACTGTGTCATTGTTTGTAAAAATGAACATTTATTTTTTGTTCCACATTTTTAGGGGAATATAACTGGAAAAACAAAACAATGAACACATAAATTGGGCTTTTGCTAATGTGTTATTCAAAGAGAAAGGTACCTAAAAATATAACTCTTAAACTCACAAAACAAAGCCAATTAATGCGGTATCTCTGAAAACAGATTTATTCTTGCTGAAAAACCATATAATTATTGATAATATGTGTGAAAAAAATTTAAAAGAAAAAAAATATGATAGTAATAATACTTTTATAACTACTTTAAATCAGTGAGTCTAATTCAATCCGCAAGCACATTCATGAAACCCTTTAATTTATTCATTATTTTCTATACATTTCATTTGTTTAATATGACCTAAGAATATTTGTTTATTATAAAAGTAGTTAATTATAAAAGTAATTTAATTTATGAAATTGTTACATAAAATTCAGTTATCAGATAAATATATCAATAATTTATATTAACAGTTTAAATTTTGATTTGATAGAATTTTCTTGTCCCCAAACAATAATCTAGCTGTACTTACAATTTTATGATTTTAGCTGGTAATTGCTTGTTTAATGAACTTTTACCCACTATTATGAGTATCATTTTTATATTTATCATTTTTCTGGGATTCTAATATCTTCTTCTCATAGCTTTTGTTAATGTTTTTTGTGTCGTAATATTTCTGTTTTTGACTAATTATTTCAATTTACAGATGCTGATAATATATACAATGAACAAGACAAAAAATTGGAAAATGTAACAGGACGCATTGAGGAATTAACTAGACAAGTTAGCCTTTATTCTCAATATATTGGCGAAAAATCTGAATTTTATAGAAATTGTCTTAATTAAACGGAAAATAAGAGTTTGTGCATTAGTATTGAATGTTTGTATATATTTCAAAGACATTAGTATTACAGTTTTTGAGAATTTATTTTTTATAAATATAAGTGTTACTATGTTTTAAAACTCAAAGTGCCATGTTTTAACTCTATTTATATAATATTTTGTATAATTTTTTATATCTTTAGAAATTAATAAAAATAGATTTTTTATCCTTATTCATTTATTATTATTTTTTTCCATTCTTATTAAAAAATTAGACATCAATAATTATGACTTAATTTCTTTTTAAGCTCAAAGTTGTAAAAATGAATTGCAATTTATTATTATGATGACCTAGGATTCATTTATTTTTAATTTAATTGTTCATAAGGCAATAAAAAGCATATCTATGGACTCTTCTCCGGTCCTGATGGAGTTCTTATGAGAACAAAAAGGAAGCTGGAAATATCAAATATAATCAAAACGATAACAGATATCATAGACATTCGGTTATGTGTCTGAAATTCTCCGTTTCCTTTATATATTAAAATTGTCCACCCACAACGGAGAATTTCAGACACATAACCAAATTTCAATGATATCTGTTATCGTTTTGATTATATTTGATATTTCCAGCTTCCTTTTTGTTCTCTGTTATACTGGGGCTGTACCAAATTTCTGCATACCAGTATTTGACAAGATATGCGGTTACTAGAAAGTATAAAATATATTATCTAATTCAATGAATGCCTGATTACCTAATTTTTACGCAATACAAATGTAAAAATAAATGTATAAAAGCAGCTTAGGATTGAAAAATAAAGTCAAAAAATCTAACCTTAGCAGCTGCTGAACATGTTCAATTTGGATGTTGTATCCTTGCTACTAAGGGCTGTGATGTAACCATTCACATCTAGGGGCTGCTACATTTTGCTGTGTTGGTGACTTCACACTCTGATATGTATTTAATTTCTTGTTTACTGCCTTCATTAATGGCATAATAAATGAAGTGCACTATTTTTTCCTACCTGTCTTGAGTTTCTTGTGTATTTTGGAAGATTTTTTGCTATTCTCATTTTTCCAGGTAAGTATTTTTTTAAAAAGTTATAATAGTGTTATGTTTTTATTTTGATATTAATGTGATGTCATTATTTCTTCTAAATTTTCAAGATAAATTAACCCTTTGACTTCGGGAGCTCATTGCAAATTTCTACCATACTTTGCACCCTGAAATCCACAAAGACGTCAAAATAAACGGACTCTGTTTTCATAAATTTGTTTAAAATGCTATTTTGAGTCACCCTGCAAGATCTTAGCTTTTAAAAATGCATTTTAACATTTTTAGTCAACTTTTAAAAAACGGGATATATAGTCAGTGGGCCAAACCCCCTTACCTTGCACTCCCTACCCCCATGTCCCTATAAATGGCCTATCATTGTGTTCCTTGTAACTATTTATTAAAAAAAAAACCAATGTTCCCACAAAAAAAAGTGAACGACTGCCCAAAATGCTCCAAACATGGCGACTGACAACTTTGACTTTAGTTAGTTTTATGGTCACTGAGAATCAGCATTTGGCTTAATTTCGTCATAGTTGGTCTTTTATTAAAGCTGGATAGTCAGAGAATAATAAAACATGAAAAAATAAAAATAATTGGCTTAGGCAATAAAAAACACCAGTAAAGTCAATTTTTTTAACAAACAAATTTTCAAGTTGAAAATCAAGCGTCGTTTGTAATTAAACGGCCAATAATAACGCAAAACGTGCTGAAATAAAACATCTGGAGAATATATTTCTCTTTCTAAAACACTGATTACTGAAAATGCACTTAAGCGGCAGAAAAGCGGTACTGGCGTAGGTGCCTACAGGCCTCTACCACACCATTCAGTACTCATAAATGGCTTAGTTATAGTGCTATAATAACGTTTTTGGTACATTATATTGATTGTATTAACGAACAAATATTAATGCAATAATTTAATTGTCCAAAAAAATTTTTTTTAAATTTATTTATTTTTTTAATTTAATTTCCTTTATTCTATACGGAGGTCGTTTAAGAAGGCCTCTATTGTAAAAATGATATAATTATAATAATAAAACTTAATTCAAAAATACTTTGCTGAATATCTTGAATTTTTATTACTTTAACGTGTGCAATTTAACACTTTGTTTTGTATATTTACTGATTCTTAGAGGTAATTTAAATTGTATATACTTCCCCGGAAATGAGTCATATTAATACCTGTTTTATAAACTAAAATAATATATACCTAATCTGAACTACATATAATGAATAGTTGATGGGTTGTTTAGTAAAACTCATATATCACTAATAAAAAAATTAATTTTTATTTCCTTTATTTTGTTCGAAAGTTGGACCATATCATAAAAAATAGGAAATTTTAATATTGAATGCATTATTCTCTCTGCACAAAGAAAGATGGAAAGGGCAAGCTATAAGTTCTTCTAGGTAACCGGAACTGATTGTTAGTATTTGGTCTCAAAATGAGGGAAAACGCGAAATTGAACCCAAAAATTGGAAAAATACATTAAGCGAACGAGAAGAAGTGCCAAAATCTCGGAAAAAAAACAAGGATCAGTATTCATTTTATGGCTAAACGAATATATAGCAGACAGATGAACATAATATTTCAAGATGCTGCTAAAAGGGGATCAAATTCTGGAGCAGTTTGGATGATATTAAGGGGACGATGCTGGTTTAAGGTAAAGACTATTTTATCAGAAAGAAAGAGTTATTCGAAGCAATTGGCAAGTCTGCAGGTCTGGACGAAGTAAACGAGGTTTATTATGGTGAAAACAACTTTATTTTATTTTTAATTGCTACTGAAGTTGCACATTGGGACTATCTTCACTTTGAAGCAGGTTATAGAGAGTTCTATCGAGAAAGGGTAGCTCTCCTTCTGTTTAGATCATTTGCAAAAGATTTTCGAAAGAATCTGAAAGGAAAACAAGCTTTTCTGAACGACTAGTATATATTACTACAATCCAAAATTTGAGGCACTGCCCCTATAAAGATATTCAGCAAAGTATTTTTGAATTAAGTTTCATTATTATAATTATATCATTTTTACAATAGAGGACTTCTTAAACCACATCAGTATGGAATAAAGGAAGTTAAAAAAAAAAAAAATTGTTTACTTTTTTTGGACAATGAAATTATTGCATTAATATTTTTTCGTTAATAAAATCAATATAAGTACCAAAAATGTTATTATAGCACTATAACTAAACCATTTATGAGTACTGAATAATGTGGTAGAGGCCTGTAGGCACCTGCGCCAGTACCGCTTTTCTGCCGCTCAAGTGCATTTTCTACGGAACTGCTTCAAGTATTTTAAAAAGTAATCAGTGTTTTAGAAAAAGAAATATATTCTCCAGATGTTTTATTTCAGCACATTTTCCGTTATTGTTGGCCGTTTAATTACAAGAGACGCTTGATTTTCAACATGAAATTTCTTTTGTTAAAAAAATTGATTTACTAGTGTTTTTTATTGCCTAAGCCAATTAATTTTTTGTTTTATTATTCTCTTTATTAAAATAAGCTTTAATAAAAGATCAACTATGACGAAATTAAGCCGAATGCTGATTATCAATGTACAAATAACCAACTAAAGTCAAAGTCATCAGTCCGCCATGTTTGGACGCTGTTTTGGGGCAGTGCGTTCAATTTTTTTTTTTTTTTTAGAACATTGGTTTTTTTAAATAAATAGTTACAAGGATATGCAATTTAAAGGGATGTGATGAGGGGCGGGGGGGGGGGGGTGCACGGAAGGGTGTCCGGCCCATTGTGTATATATGCCTTCCCGGCCGCATATTATAATGCAAAATTAGAGCGGCAATCCGGCAACACTTTGCTTTCTTAGGTATTTTCTCATTTCTGAAAAGCAAAATAACTGTAAATGATCATAAAAATTGAATATTTTTTTTTTTTTAGAGAAACCAACAGCGGGATTTGAATTATATATATCTTTGTATTTACAAATTTTGTTCTTACCTATAAAAGTTCCATATTGAAACATGGCGCAGTTATAAATTTTATTATTGCACTTATATTTACTTTGAGTTCCAAACACTTTTATATTGTATGAAATATATACTAAAACAGTATATTTAATATAATATTGTTTTTAGGTGGATGTAAAAATAATAAAACAACTAAAATATCATTTTAATTCTGTATATTTTTACATTTATTAAGTTTCATTTTTTCGCTTATTTAGTACTTTATAAATATATATATATATATATATATATATATATATATATATATATATATATATATATATATATATATATATTATTTATTTATTTGACGCGAAACAGCCCTGAAGGACTACGCGACTATGAAACTGGTTTCTTTTTCAATTTCCTCTTTTCTGCCCATCTCTGCTTGAGGATATCGCTAAATTTTTTCTTCCTCTCCTCCGTCCACTTCCTCCTGGACGGAAGTTCCTTACTGTCCACCACATGCACCGCACTTTTCAGGAATTTCTTGTATTATGTCCTATCCTCACACAATTCCCGTGTTATCTCAAGCTTCTGTATTTCCTGTTTTATTTGTACCGTATATCCATGGTTAAACTTGTATCCCATAACCCTACTGAAAATCTTCTTGTTTAACCTCTCCTCGGTCATCCTTTGCATGTGTCCATAAAACCTAAGTCTTCTTACCCTCATTTCCGTTTCCAAATCAGAGGTTTCACTGTAAATCTCCTTATTGGATTTCAGTCTGTATCCTTCTGGTGTTATTTTGGGCCCATGGATTCTTCTAAGAATCCTTCTTTCTATTTTCAGCAGTTTCTCCAAACTGGGAAAGAACATTGTCTCCGTTCCGTACAGTATCACTGGCTTTACCACTGTATTGTAGTGCCTGATTTTGGACTTTTTGGAGAGGCATTTTTTATTATAAATGCTACTCGTTAAGTAGCATAATTTCTCCAAATTTTTTATCCTATACTCCATGCTTTCTTTCTCCGATAAATTTCTGCTGATTATTTCGCCCAGGTATTTAAAGCTTTTAACCACCTTGATTTTACCGAATTCTGTTTTTATTTCTGTCTTCCTAAAGTTGGGTTTGTGGTCATAAATTTAGTCTTCTGGAAGGAGATTTTAAGTCCAGTTTTCTCAGCTATTTTTTTCAGCGAATTTATCTGTCTAATCGCCTCTTCCTCCGACTCTGCCAATAGGGCCAAGTCATCCGCAAAGGCTAGACAT